GGCAGAGATGCCCCACAGGGCTTGCATCTAGGAAACACGCATGCTAAGCATCCCTCAGGCAGGCTGTGCAGAGGCCTAGGGGCTAGGTAGTGAATCTTCAGAAGAGATGCTGGCCCAACCCCAGCTCTCTTCTCAGACATGCCTATCGGAGAAAATCTGGTGGACCCTGAGAACGCTATGGCCGGGGCTGGCAAGTAAGATGACCACGTTCTGGTGGCAGTGGCCTAAGCCAGACCAGAATTGGGACAGCTTTCTCAGAGATGGTTCGAGGGACAGGCATTTCAACCTTAAGTCTGACTCCCAGTAGAACAGTACACTCTAGTCCTAGAATCTAACAAGCGAGGACATCCAGGGCCTCTTTCATCTGGGGAACCAGCAACAGGCTCTGGAGGGATAAGACACTGCTGCCGCAAAGTCTTCACACATCAACTACCCAGAGGCAACTCTGGGGCTGCTAAGCCCTCAGCCAGCCCTGGTTGGCAACTTTCCAAACGCACACCTGGAGGATCCTCCAGGGAGCCAATGAGCGGAGTGTGGGAACATTGCTGGACCTGCCAGAAGGCCCCACTTTCTCCTTCTACCCAGCAGGAAGAATGTTTGACAATGTCTACACAGCCAACTTCCGTTATGTTCAACTGGGAACACTCTTGTCCAGGATCATAAAAGGAGCTGGTTGCCCTTGGTTACAAAACAGGAGTGGCAGAGGCAGGAACACCCAGATACAAGTGTGCATAGGCCAGTGTGCCAGCCGGTCATGGTCCAACCCAGGCAGTGACTTGCCTGGAGCATGTCCCCATTTCCTGTGGCCCAGGGCTTGCCTGGCCTGGCAGCATAGCCTATATCTGGAACCCAGCAGCCTCAACAGTTGCTGCTGCAGGGCTGAATCCTCTATGCCCAATAGCGATTTTAATGACAGGCTCTGGCTGCCCCTGAGGTGCTAGCCAAGCCAATGCAGGAAGTTTCTTTCACTGTGTATGTTCCGGGGGAGGGAGCAGATGACACAAAGAGTGACACAGGCCCAAGGATGCAGCTCAGTTGAGAGTGCTTGCCTACAACGTAGGAGGCCCTGGGGTCAGTCCGGAGCACCACTAAGACCAGGTGTGTCAATGTACACCTGGACTCCTTACAGACCGGAAGATCAGAAGATCATCACGGCCTACATAGTTTTAGGTCAGCCTAGCTAACTAAGTCCCTGTCCCCACCACCACCACCACCAAAAAAGAAAAAAAGGGGGGGGGGGAGGTCAATACAAGCAGGAAATGGTAACCCATACCATAGTCCCAACACTGGGGAGGCTAAAGCTGGACCACAAGTTCAAGGCTAGGCTGTGCTACCTAGTTAGGTCCCTGTGTAAAAACAAATTAAAACAAAGGCTGGGAATGGTGCCTCAAGCCTTTAATCCCAGCACCTGGGAGCTAGAAACTTCCAGGACAGCTGGGGATAAACAGAAAAACCCTGTCTCAAAACCAACCAAAGGCTAGAGGGCTGGCTTAGTAGTTAAGAGTGGTGCTGCTCTTCTAAAGGTCCGGGGTTCAATTCCCAGCAACCACATGGCGACTCTCAACCGTCTGTAATGAGATCTGGTGCCCTCTTCTGGCCTGCAGGCGTACATGCAGACAGAGCACTGTTTACAGAATAATTATCTTTAAACAAGAAAAACCAACCAACCCCGTTTCTCCTGCAGAGTTTTGCCTCCCATGGTCAGGGCACACAAAAGGCTTAGTTAGCAACAATCCCGAAGGCAGACCAACATCAGCTTGAAAAGGGCCCAGAGCTCCGAGGCAATATTTCCTCTCCTCCTTCCTACAACCTGCTGAGCGGTAACTCGGTTCAACGCAATAGGTTCTGGAGTTTGTCGGGAACACACAAGGGACATCTGTTTCCAATCCTCAACCCGAACAATTATTACCTGTAAAACTTCAATAATTCATGAACAAGCAAAACCACAGAAAGAGCTATGAAGCACCAACAGGCATCTGGCGCCTGCACACCCTTACAGGGATGTTACTATGTTCTTAGCAACGGCAATCAAAACAACGGAAGCTGCCCTTCTGGGGCAAGAACTGTCCATCGGAAAGGCAGAAGTCTTCTGCACACATTCTAACCATATTTGGAATGCCTTTCAGCACGCCCCTGCAGGTAAACAGGTACTCAAGCCGTGTATTGTTTAGCCACTGTCCATGGTGATATGGGCTAAAGATCTATGAAAAAGGTTAATGGAGCACCTGGCCAGCCACCGCTGCAGCCTGCAGAGCTCCCAGCACAAGGAATGCGTTCGTTCTTGGTGAAGGCGGGGGGGGGGGGTGCACTCTGGATCCCCCAGTGCACTTTCAGACTGCACGAACACCTAATCCTCCAGATGCTGGGTGAGCACAGCAGCAGATGCTCATGAGATGAGGAAATACAAGCAAGGCCACAATCTGCAGCTTTCCTTACTAACAAAGTAAAGGATGGAATTACTAGGAAACCAGGTGGACCTTCCTACACACCCAGCATGTCAGGGCCCTCAGGGAAGCTGTGCAGTGTTGTCTGCCCTTTCTTTTTGGGGTCTGAATTGTACTGAATCTGGTCAACACTGTTCACATGCCTACACTCTGCACTACCACCCTGTACCCTGACTACCCTTGAGCACTTGGTGACCTGCCTGGCTGCTTACGGAAAACGAAAGGCAGGCTTCCCTGCTCTGAAAAGACAAACCATCTCTTAGGTATCAAAGCAGGCCACTTAAACGGAGTATCAGTGTCTGCTGTTGGCCAGGATCTGATCAGACCTGGGATGGAAGACCAACACTGGCAGGTCAAAGGACAAAGAACTCACTCTGGACTAACATCCGTGGAAACAGAGACACAAGTGTCTTTAATTTGGCAGAAAGGTTGACAGTGATTCTCAACAATAAAGTTCATAAATACAGAAAAGAAGTTTTCTCTCAGGGAATGAAGACATCAAATGATAGCCTACATGTCTGGTAATGGCAATAATCGTTTCAGCATAGGCGACTCTACACATTTGCTTGGGATTAAAGAATGATCAGAAATATACAAAGGAGAGCCGGGGATGTAGGTCAGTAAGCAGAATGTGTGTTTAGCCTGCATGATGCTCTGTGCTTGGGGCTCAGCACATTATGAAATCTGTCACAGTGGCCACATGCCTGCAGTCCCAGCACCTGGGAGGAAGTAGGAAGATCAGAAGATCAAGGTTATCCTGGTTACATAGTGAGTCTGAGGCCAGCGGGGTTACAGGAGACTCTGTCTGGGAAAACAAAAAGGAAACATACAAAGAAGAAGCCTGGAGTGTAATGCTCTGGTTTAATGCCATTTCTGAAGGCAGCTTTAGAACCCAGTAGAAGAGCTAGCCTATGCTTTAAGTCCACCCCATCTCAAAATACAACCAAACAGCACGTATTAATATGCAGGAACATGGCAACTGTTAAGTACGAGTGCATATTCTCCAAAATTTATCTACTTCAAGCTGTGAAGAAGCCAAAGCCCAGGGATCCCGAGCTGCTTGGGGGTGGCCTTGTTCTGGGACCTGAGCTGCAGCTCCAATAAGGCTCGGCAGTGTGAGGGGTGCAAGGCGGAGCCACACAGGTTGTCAGGGCGGAAGCATACTGCAGCACACTGAAACTGGGTCTGCCCCACCTGCATGTGCCTGACAAGAGTTAATAGCTGTTATTTTAACATGATGTAAAGAAACACAAGCTATACAACTGGCTCGTCCACATTCAATCCCAGGAAGAGGGGGAGAAACAACAGCTCTTGTCATTTATCCGCACTACCACCTGTTCGTGCTGCTTTGTCCAAGAGTCACAAGCTCTGGGCTTCTTTGTAAGGTCATCTGTCAAATACCTTATGACCTGCTGAGTGTCATAGGAAAGAGTGAACTCTTTGAGTGAGGCTTGGTCCCGTTTCCGTGGTGCTCAGGAGGACAGATCTGGAAACCAGGGTCACTTGAGTCCCTGTGTCCACAAGAAGGCGTAACTTTCCTGGGAGGTATGTGGCTCTCCTGGCCCTGCAGAGGGCACCTCACCTCCTCCGGAACACAAACACCACATTTGGAGTTTTACCCTAGCAGCCATAGTACTGACAAGAGGGCTGTCAAAAGATGCTGCTAATGTTGACATCCGCTCTTCTTAGATCAGTTAGGCAGAGATTTAAACAAACTAGAGGTTAAAAAAAAAAATGGCAGCAAACATATCCACACCGACTCAACAGAGAAAATGCAAAAAGCCAACCATTACCCCAGCCCTTCAACCCCAACCTCTTGCTCCATTCAAACCCTTGTGTCCTGTGGATACAGGTGCTGCTTAGGCTATTCACTACCAACAGTGATCCTGAGTTGGAGACAGCACACCCGCATACTCTTTTGTTTCTCTTTTCAAAATGTCCCTCTGCGATGTGTCAGAAGAATGCCTTTCAAAGACAAGTGAGGTCTGAGGAAAGTGGAGCAGGAGGACGGGAGGGCCCCTTCTGCCAGTCCAGCTTGCACTCTTCCGTCCCGTTCTTTAGACGTGCAGGGAATGCTTGCTTTGCTGCTAGGAACTGAGCATTTCCCACCATCACTGCAATGATGGAAGAAAACTGAAACAGTGCCGGGTTTAAGAGGGAGAGCACACGGGTGCTCTTCTCCCCAGCACCGACAGACAGCGAGCAGGCGGCAGGGCTATGGCTGCCCTGCAGTAGAGCTCTGAAGACATGTTCCATGGTGGCAAATTCTTCATATTCATGCTTTATTGATAGACGAGTAAGGGTCAAAGACAGGTACTGATTAGCAGGTCGTGTCTCTAGACAGTCACTTGGAGTTCAGAGCAGGATGCTATCCCACGCACTTCCACACAAATCCACGATTGACCAGGGCATCTGTATGAAACTGACCAGGACTTTATTCCCTCCTGTGGCTCCAAATCTCACGTGTAAACATGATTTACTCCACTGCTACGCTGCTCACTCACCCTCTCCCTCCCACCACCGCTTAAATAGAAAATCTGAAACATTTCCTTCGTCTGATGCCCATCAGTGCAATCTGCTTTATTTGACATAAGGCAATTGGGACAGTCTCTTTGAATGGATTTTTGCCTTTTGGAAGAGCCAGGTAATAGTTTAATTCTTAAATCCACTTTTTCTTTAATGCCCTAACATGTCAAATTCCTCTTCCTTTCTGGTTATTCCTTGGCAGTCAGCAAGTGGTCAAAGATTAATGTCCAAGCAGACCCGTACCTGAAATAGAACACACATGGAGGGAGGGCTAAAATTAAGAGTTTGTGTATTCTGTTTGGCAAGAATGTGTCAGCAGGGAATATCGCCCATAACAAATGAACACAGGGGCCCTTGCACTGAAGATCAAGACAAAATACCAGCAGACTCCAAGCTCTCAGAGAAATCACATTTTGGTTGACAGCCATGGATTCCTATGCGTATCACACAAGCTAACCGGGTTTGATTGATGCTTTCATTTTACAGCTACGTCCAAAAAGGAATATTATGCCTTGATTTATGTAGATCTTGCCAGGAGTTCCTTTGTGGAGCTCAAATGCAGACAAAAGAGCAACACGGGGAGGAAGGAGGTATTTGGGCCAGGAGCTTTGGCACTGCCCGGTGAGGAACTGCTGGCAGTTGATTCAATCCCATTTGGGGAAGTATCTGAACCTGCCAACAGACCTTGGGAGTGGTGAACAGAGAAGCAGCTCGGCAGTTCTTGCATCTGCACAGGTACAGTGCCGAGAAGACAAGGCAGCGCTGTCTCCACCTGAAAATCTTCATAATTAATGAAACCGGCACTGACCTGATAGAAGCCTATACTCTCCCGGCACCAATTCTTACCCTTCACATACCAGCTGCCCCGATGAGATGGAGCTGATAGGAGATTTGGGCAGAAGGTTAAATATGGATCTAGAAATGTTATTCATTACTTCCCAGCCTCCCTGAAAGCAGACCAAGGAAGTGCTCCTCACACACAGGCCAGTCTCAGGCCTTGGTGTGGACAGCGAGAACGAGAAGCTGGAATAGAAATGATTTCAGCGAAAATTAATTCCAGTCACAAGACTTGGATTGGATTAAATTTTAAAATCAAATTGCAGCCTTCACGTTAATAAAGAGTCCCAGTGTGTCTCTGACATGGAAGAAGCACCACAAAGGCCTTACCTTTAAATCCCTCTTCCGGCATACAAACTGCAGAAGAAAAGAATTCCAGAGTGAAAGACAGTTACTGCGAGCATGTCAAATGCCTCAAGATGAGGAGTTTAAAATAACTTTTAATTGCTTTAGTCACCTGGAATGGTTCCTTTTGAACCCATGGTAGCAATGATCTGTTGGCCTCGTCATCAAAGTCACACACGTGTTATTTAGAAAGGCAAGCGTCTGTGGCATGCCTGGAAACCTCACGGCTGACCTCTGGGAGCTGTGTCTTCTCTCCTCCTGTCACTCCCACATGACAGATCCCACTGTGAGATTCTCTAGCAGTTTTTCTGATATTTAGTTTCCTTCCTTTTTGTTTGTTAAAGATTTAATTTTTATGTGTATGAGTGTTTTTTCTGCACACCATTTCTGTGTATTCCCCCATGCACTGACTGGTGCCTACAGATGTCAGAAGGGAATTGGACCCCCTGGAACTGGAGTTACAAATTGTTCTGAGCAACCATGTTGATGCTGGGAAACAACCTGGAGCCTCTACAAGAAAAACAAGAGCTCTTATCCGCCACTCCAGCTCTATCTGAATTACTTTTGAGACAGAATCTCACACTATGTAAGCCACACTGGCCTAGAACTTGTAGCAATTCTCCTGTCTCAGTTGTACAGGTGCTAAATTACAGTTTTCTTTCTGAATAAGATATTTTTATTGTTTTCCATATCTTAACCTCTGACAACCTTCCAGTGAAGAACATTTAGCTCTTCTGTCACCTAGCCCACCTTGGCAATACCCAGTCTGCATGCCAGCCGCCAATGGTTCAGTCCCACTGCTTACATGCTCTTTCTTTAGAGCCAGGCAATTCCTGCATAAATCACATGCTTTGTCTCTTCTGCATCTAGCTGCAATAACCTCTTCAAGGCCATCACCATCGCTTCCATCAACCTTGCATAAAGCTCATCCTAAAATCCATGTCCAGCTCCCAAATCTGGACCAATGCCTATACTACTTGATGCACACAGCCTGGGCTCTGAGATCTCCCTTCCCATCTCCTAGTACTTCTTGTCCCATGCCTGGTCCCAGTAACTTCCTTCTTAAGAGTTTAAGAGTGTGTCCCCGCATGTTGCCCCTAGGCTTACCTTTTTTCCCCAGTTTCCTCATGTTAATAATCAATGCTTTCTACTTCCCAAACTGGGGAGTTTTCTACTTTAAGAGCAAGCATGCAGTAGTTCTCTTTCAAGGTTCAAAGTAAAGCCCAGGGCCATTCAGCCTCTATCTATAACCCCATATCCTAAATTCATCACCAGGTCCTGAAAGCATGGTCTTTACCTTGCATGACATCATCCATTGCAGCATAGTCTGCAATTGGTTCATCAGCCTAGAAAACAAATGGAGACCGTTCAGAGCCACGAGGGAGGAGGGGCTTAGGGAAGAACAGGCTAACCACCCCCTGAAGCCTAGTCCTGGTTCAAATATTGGCTACAAATCCTGTCTCACAGTTCAAACCCTTAGCGCTTCAGTCCTACCCTTAGAGAAGCAAACTGGTACTTCCAGTCTACAGAGGACTTGTTTTGGATGAAACAAGCTCAGATCCCTCAGGGCCAGTAGCTTGGCTGGCTCTGTCAGCAAAAGTTTGGTTCACAGGTGGCTAATGGGCAATGCTCCTCGTCCATTCAGTGTTGCCTAGCTTTGTACAAAAAGTTGGCACTGGGCTGGAGGGGCCTTGCTCAGACTTAACAAATGCTCTGGCAAATGTAGATGTAGGCTCCTTTGGCCCACTGTAAGAGGCAGAGTGCTGTTATCTTCCCCACAAACAGCTTTAAGCAGGGAAGGTGCGAAGGAGCCATGTCTAAGGGGAGATAACTGCAAGGGCAAAGTGGATGACCAGTCCAAACTCCAGCTGCAGACCTGCTACAGAAGCCATGTAACGAGCTAGTCTAGAGGGTAACAACTCAACAGGTAAACATTATCATTCCACAGACTATAGTGCTGGGAAAAGCCAACAGTCAGGATGGGAGGACCAGACATGCCAAACGTAGATGTGCCTGCCTCGTTGTGTCAGGGTAAGTTACAAAAACATGCCCACCCAGGTCAGGTATCTTTGGGATTGTTCTACCGGGGTTTCCTATGTGGCAGAACAGTGTGCCTCAGCACCCCTCTCTTCTATACATGTAGAGAGCATCACTAACTCCAAAATTTTCTTTCTGAGCTTGTTATAGGATATCTAAAGAACAAAATGTTTATAACCAAACTCCTTAAATGGGTTACTTAAAACAGTAAAAATATTGTATGAAATTACCTCCAGGTTGTGTATATGGGGTACATATGAAACATACCTCATTATATATACAAATATTTCAAAATCCAAGATCTCTGGTTCTCTGCACTTCAGACAAAAAAGCCTCAGCCCATGCTCCTAAAGCAAAAAGAAGTGCAGGCCACGCCACTGTGCTATCAAATGAAATCACAAGAAGCCCTACTCTCCTCAAAGAGATTTTTATAATTGCTGTGTCCTGGCTAGTTTTTTGTCCAACTTAACACAAACTAGAGTTACGTGGGAAGAATCAGATAGGACTGTAAGCAAATCTGAGGGTCACTTTATTGACTAATGATGATGTGGATGCTGCTGTGCCTGGGCAGGTGGTCTGGGGTAGTATAAGAAAGCAGGTGTAACCAGGCATGGCACACATTTTTGATCCCAGCACTCCAGAGGCAAAGGCAGGCCTGTGAGTCCCAGACCAGCCAGCACTACATAGTGAGACCCTGTCTCAAAAAAAAGAAAGCTGCTTGAGTAAGACACAAAGTGTAAGCCAGTAAGCAGTACTACTCCACAGCTGCTGGCTCCAGCTCCTGCCCCTCCTTCATGACTGATTACAACCAGAAACTGAAATAAACCTTCCTTCCCAAGCTGCCTTTGTTGTCATGGTGTTTATCACAGCAAAAGAAACCTATTTTGTTAAAATGATAGATGAAAATTTTAAGTATCAACAGGGTGAGCAATCCTTTCACAGGTCACACACCTCTTCTCTGCTCTTTCTTAAAGAGGGAAGCATTGCAAAGAAGCCACACTAGTCTAGACTCCAGCTAGTCCAAAATAAAACAACCCAGGCACAGAGGTGCATGGCTGTAATCCTAGCAACCAGGAGGCTAACGTAGAAGGCCAACCTAGGTTATATAGACCCTGTCTTAATACAACAATAAAATAAGCAAACCAAAGGAATGTGTGCACACGTGGCAAGTAAAACCATGAATGCAAGAAGAGGAGGTGCCAACAAAGAAATCATAACCACAGACCAGGTCATTGAGCTGAACCCAGTGTGGTGGGTGGTTCATGGGCTGAGAGTCAATCCTGACCCGAGCTCAAGCCTCCCTTCCATGAGTGGAATAAAAAACAGATCTGTGGTCTGGAGAAGCTGGCCTCTTGTCAGAGAAAAATCAACCTGGAGCAATCAGAAGGGATGGATGGTGATCGTTTTGGCAGTGCTGTCTGTCCTGACTGTCTACAGCACAAACACCAAGCCACATAGAAATCCAGAGAGGACCAAGAGGAGATACCCATTTATCTTTAGTTCACAGGCAGCGGTAGGTATTCTGCCATCACCGCAGCTGATGATGACTGTGAGGACCTAGTGGTGTGCTGGCCTCCTCTCAGCCTCTGTCAGAGCTGGATAACCAAGAGGGAGCAAAAGCTCCCAGCCCCTGAGAACTCCTGCCCTTCAAGGACCCACGTTGCTTCACCACCACAGCATATCCTTTACCAGGGATGCAGCACTGACACCTGAGGCCCCAGCTGGACGGCTGCTACTTACCTTTAATAAAATGACAGACTCAGGAATGACACCGAGGGCCCCAAGGGTGGCACGGTCATCATTTAAAATCTTTCCATCAATTGACAAATTCTGGTCAAAGGGAGCGACTGAAAATGCATGCATGATCTGTGGCAATACAAAAGAAACAATGTCTATACAAAGGACAATACTGAGCCCTGTAACACCCTTGAAAACATAAAACAGTTTCTAAAAAACAGGAAAAATCCAAAGGCTCCAAAGTACAAAAGCAGCCAGCCCACTTGCTACAATGCTAGACAGTGTCCCTAGGAGGCCAAGCCTCAGGAATAGAGAACAGAGACAATTAGACATTCAGGTTGGTTGATTCAGTGTCCTGTTGCCTCCCCAAGTCTATCAGGGGGAGCTCAAAGATAGGGCTGTGTTGTTTGCACCCACACTTCATCAAGATCACCCCATTCCTAAGGTGCAACACATCATAAGCAAGCACATGGTCTCATTCAAAACCATTTCCACGAACAAGTATGAATGCTCACCTAAAAGTATTTTTAGGCTTGAGTTGTCTGGTGCCTATAGTTCATTTATGGAGGGGTTAATGCATGATGCCTTTCTGAATTTAGAGATTCCATTGCAGAACAAATCATACACACAGAATTCCAGGCTGGCTTGAGACACTCATTTCAGAAACACCACCACCACCACCACCACACACACACACAAATTTGGACAAAATTGTTTCTAAAGGCAAGGTTTGGATTTCTAAAGACAAGGTTTCTCTGCGTAGCTCTGGCTGTCCTGAATTTGCTCTGCAGAATGGGTTGGCCTCAAACTCAGAGAGATCCACCTGCCTCTGCCTCCTGAATGCTGAGAGTAAAGGTACACACCACCACTGCCTGTTGTGGGAGCTGCGGGCTGCGTTCCTGCCACCCCAGTTCCTGGTCACCTGGCTAGCTTATGCCCCGAAATAACAATACACAAACTGTATTCTTTTAAACACTGCTTGGCCCATTAACTCTAGCCCTTATAGGCTAATTCTCATATCCCGATCAACCCATCTCTAATAATCTGTGTAGCATCAGTCTTACCGGGAAAGATTCAGCATGTCTGACCTGGCAGCTTGCTTCATGGCATCTGTCTGCCTCTGAGAGCAGAGCTATCGCATCTGCCTGGGAGAGGGGAGCATGGCGACTCTGAGCTCACTTCCTCTTCCTCCCAGCATTCTGTTCTGTTTACTCCTCCCACCTATGTTTTAACCTATGAGGGCCAGCCAAGCAGTTTATTTTTTAACCAATGACCTTCCTCCATCAACTGCCCACCTACATTTATCTCCTTAGCAAGCAGCCTGGACTGTGTCATTCGGACAAACTGTCAATATTCTTAGACTCAGTGTTGAGTCTCTGGGGACCAAACTACAACTTCAGAGAAGGGCTATGTGCTGTATCCCAACAGTGGCCAAGCAACAAAAGTCAAATACATTCCAAAACACATAATCCCTTCAATGTCTTTCAGATTCAGAAAGTTTTAAAAGAATTGATGGGGTAGGCCTTTATTTCCAGCCGCTCGGGAGGCTGGGACAGATCAGCCAGTGTTAACTTAGTGAGATACTGTCTCAGTGAGGGCACACTCATCTAGTATAACAAGGCCCTAAATTCAATCTGTGCTATCTCAAAATAACCGATAATGGTTTAAATCATTTCTGGATTGTAATTACATCCAGAGAGCAGAAGGAATCTTGAAAAGGCTCTCAGACACCAATAGTAACACTATTACTATTCTTCTTCTTTTTCTTTTCCTCCTCCTCCTCCTCCTCCTCCTCCTTCTTCTTCTTCTTCTTATTATTTAAAGATTTATTTATTAAGTATACAATGTGCTGCTGGCAAGAAAGGCACCAGGTCTCACTACAGACGGTTGTAAGCCACCATGTGGTTGCTGGGAATTGAACTCGGGACCCCTGGAAGAGTAGCCAGTGCTTTTACCCTCTGAGCTATCTCTCCAGCCCTCACTATTACTATTCTTAATAGGTAAGGCAGTTTTAAAAACATTCATGTGGGGAGGCAGAGGCAGGCGGATCTTTGTGAGTTCGAGACCAGCCTGGTCTACAAGAGCTAGTTCCAGGACAGGCTCCAAAACCACAGAGAAACCCTGTCTCGAAAAACCAAAAAAAAAAAAAAAACAAAAAACATTCATGTGAAATTTTTAATTAAGTTATTTATTTTGACTTAGGTTCTTACTATGTTTAGCACTGAGTGTCCTGGAACTCACTATATAGATATGCTGGCCTCCAACTGTAAGAGATCCAATCGCCTCTGCTGGAATTAAAGGCATACATTACTACACTCAGCCAAGATATTCTTCAAAAGTAATTCTTTAGCACCCACTCTTATTACACTGTTATCCCTAATGCTAAGGGAGTCATCCAGCTTTCATGCTTTCTTCTACTTGGTGGCAGAAAGACGGGTCATCTGTAGGAATTCAGTCTCCAGCTCCCTGTGCAGCAGAAAGGGCTAGGGTAATGCTTACCGCAGGAGTGACTTTAAAACTGGCTATAGATAAGAGCTCTAGTCAGGTAAGAATGATACCTGGATTTCTCAAAAAGACATGAACACCCAGAGGTGACAAGGGCATGGTACTGCCAGTGAGCTTCCTGAAGCAGCAAGCCTTGTTCCTACACTTCCTGCTGTGTAGGATGTACAGACAAGGCTAACTCCGCCAACCCCAGACCAGCATACCAATGTGGAACAGGTTCATCAGCACATCCAGCAGAGCTTCGATGGAGATGGGTGACAGTGACTTCACACAGGTAAGGTCGCATTCATTCCCCTCAATATAGGATGGCTTCTTCTCTTGAAATGCCCACTCCATGAGATGGGTAAAGCCTCAAATCCCTTGAGATAGCCATACCATCTCTGAGGGACTGACACACTGTGCTGTGAGTACAGACAAAGGCACGTAAGTGTGTTCAACAATGACTGTGGCCTTCATGAAGCCAGCACACGACAAGTATTGCACTAGACACTGGCAATCTACACTAGGAAAATCCCTCTGGGTAATGCAGGACAGGTGGTTCAGCAGTCCTTATGGAGTGACACAACTTAGGTGCAGGATTCTAACAGGGACTATGACAAGGTATCCCAGAAGAGGTGCTGGGAGAAGACAGCAGTGGTTTCGAAGAAGAGAGACAAATCAAGGCAGGGGTCCACGGACAGTACAGAGCCTGAGTGCCAGCGTACAATACAGGCTGCCTGATAGTGACCTGCTTCCTAACTGTGGACATTCCAGGAGCAGCAGAGCAGCTGCCAGACTTCAATTACCCACAGAACTGAGGCAAGGAAATGCAGACGCCTCAGCCACTTCACCCTGGGCCCAAACACCACCCCCCTCCTAAGGGCCAATGACACACAACATCTTTAGGGAAATAAAATTTTGCACTGGAGAAGGGAAGTGGAAGAATGACTACTTAGCATGAGTTAGGTCTAGATTTGAGTATTTGTTCAGCAAAACAAACCAACAGGGGAGAAGCATTACTGGATTATTGGATGAACAAACAACTATGCAAAACAACAAACTTCAGTTTTTTAAAATGTTTTCAACATTTACTTATTTTATGTGTATGAATCTGATGCCTACACGAATGTTACGTGCAACAGTTATATACCTGGAGCCTACTAGCCTTACAAATGGTTGTGAACAACCATGAGGGTGCTAAGACCTGAACCTGAGTCCTCTATGCAGCAAGTACTCTCAAGAATTTCTTAACTACTGAGCTGCCTCTCTAGCCCCCTAAAGCAACTTTAAGATTCTAAGCAATAGCATATGGGAAAGCATCTATCTATACAACCTTGATTTACACTGTGGCAGACTGTCACCCAATTCACCTAGAGCAGTGTGCCCAAAGGAAAGGCTTCATTCTACAAAAGAAAATGAAGTACAACCCTTTTTTTTAAAAAAGCACCTACTGGGGCTGAAGAGATGACTCAACAGTTAAGAGCACTGGCAGCTCTTTCAGAGGACCTGGGTTCATTTCTCAGCAACCACATGGCAGCTCACAGCTGTAACTCAGTTTGAGCTGATACCTGTACCCTGATACAGACATATATGCAAGCAAAACACCAATGCACATAAAATAATTTTAAAGTGCCTACAAAAGAAAAAAAAGTACCTACCGCCACCAACTGAGAACTACATGTATGCCACATAGATGCAGCGGAAGGGTCACAGCTAGCCGCTGTTCTTAAAGCACTGGGCAGCAGGGGGAAATTCCATCCCGCCACCCTTTCTTTCAGTCCTGTTTGATTCACAAGAGCGGGAGATGAGAGGAAACACCACAAAGAAATCACTGAGGAAAAAGCGTGTGGGGGTTTCATCTGAACAGCTGCTGCCGTGAAGCAGTTCATCCAAGCAGGTAACACACTCCTCCCAGGGGGAGAGGTTATTTTTGCTGCCTTCTGATTTATTCTTTTCAAAAACAGCAATCCATAATAAGAGCAGCACAGGCCTCAGAAACGTCCTTGTCCACAGGGGCTCTTTTTGTAATTTAAAGGTTTTGAATGCTCGAGGTTTACCGCTGACAGGCAGAAAACCGGTGATGGAAACAAGCCTTCTCAGATGTAAAGGGCACAACAACAGAGGGAAGATATTATGCCAACACATTTATTTTCAGAGCCGCGGGTTCAACCAAGGGAAATGCTGTTCTCAGGACAATCTGGAACACATAACACCCTCAAAAGAAGCCTGTACTTTTGCCTCAATTACAATGATAAATATCAGCAACAAGAAAAATGCATTGCCATGAATGCCACCACATAAAGGCAGCAGACAAGGGAGCGTGGTCAACTTTTGGAGATCCTACAGTGACTCAAACCACAGGGGCCGGATTGTTTTTCATGGACATCTTGAATTTATCAGCTCTTTCTGCTGAGAGTTTGAGACATACTATTGGAACGCACACTTATGGAACTTTCCCTGATACCAAGAAGTCATACCATCACAAAGAATTTGGGTAATTGCCTGTGTGTGTGACCTTATAGGTTTCCAAGTGACAGTATGGATGGGGCATTAAACAACAATTTGGAAAAGGCTACTATATAAAAAAAAAAAAGATAAAGATGAGTTAAAACCCTAGCAAACAGGGCTAGTGAGATGACCTGGGGCAAAGGCAATTTCTGCCAAGCCTGATGATCCAAGTTCGGTACCTGAGACATAGACGGTCAAAGGGAATCAACTTTCATGGGCTGTCATTTGACCACAAGTGCACCACAGCACAATGCGCCCATAAACATATCTACATACAAAATAAATATACATACACAAAATAAACATATTCACACACAAAAAAGTAAACAAATAAATAGATGTAAATATATTCTAGCCAATAGACAATATGTCACCAAAAATACTAAGAAATGAGAGGCATAGGCAGGAGTTTGATTTGAGTCAGCCTGATCAATTTAGCGACTTCAACATAGGATAGGCAGGTGTTCTTAGCAAAGCTCAAAAACAAAAGCAGGGGGAGCTGGAGAGATATTAACAGAACACTGTTCTTATAGAGGTTCACAACTGTATGTAAATCAAGCTCCAAGGGATCCCACAGCTCTCTGATTTTCTAAGGCACAATACAGACATACATGCAAATAAATAAAAAATTTAATCGGAGCTGGCATGCTGGCTAGCTTTATGTCAACTTGATAAGCTTGAATCATTTGAAAGGAGGTAACCTCAATTGAGAAAATGCCCCCATAAAGACCAGCAACAGGGCATTTTCTTAGTGAGTGCTGGGGGAGGGTCCAACCCCATTGTGGCTGGGGTCATAGATAGGCTGGTGGTCCAAGGTTCTATAAAAAAGAAGGCTGAGCAAAGTGTGGAAAGCAAGCCAACAAGCAGCATTCCTTCATGGTCTTTGCAATAGCTTCTGCCTCCAGGTTTCAGCCCTGCTAGAGTTCTTATTCTGACTTCTTTCATTGAAAAAGTACAATTTGTAAACCAGATAAACCCTTTCCTCCCCAAGATGTTTTGGGTATGATGTTTCATCACAGCAACAACAACCCAAACTAAGATAGGTGGTGAGAGGGCTCAAACAAGTAAAGGTGCTGTTACTGTGCCCGACCATCTGCATTAGGTTTCTAGTACATGACGGAAGAAGAGAACAAGTTTCCCCAGAAAAAAACTGTCCTCTCACTTACCATACAGACAGACCCACATGCACGCAAAAGAAACAAGAAAATGTTAACAACAGCAAAGAACTTTTGAACAAGCTTGAGACTCCATGTTTGATCCCCAGAATCTACATTAAAATGTGGGCGTGAGCTGTCCAGTGATGGCACACATCTTTAATCCCAGCACTAGGGAGGCAGAGAAAGTCAGATTTCTGTGAGTTCAACGCCAGTCTGGTTTACAGAGCAAGATCCAGGACAGGCTCCAAAGATCTCGAAAAAAACAAAACCAAAAAGTGGGTGTGTAGGGCTGGAGAGATGGCTCAGCAGTTATGAGCACTTGTTACTCACCTGGTGGCTAACAACTGCCTATAACTCCAGTTCTAGGGACCTGATATTCACTGACTTTAAGCAGATTAGGTTCTTGCCACGTACTTGGTGGATATACATACACTCAGGCACACACACATAAAATACTTTAAAAATCTGAGTAAGAGGACTGGAGAGAGAGCTCAGCAGTTAATAGTAAGGGCTACTCTAACGTAAGACCTAAGTTTGGTACTCAGCATGCATTTGGGGCAGCTCTCAACTCCCTCTTCTGGACTCTACAGGCTATACTCACCTGTACACATACTCCCACACACGCAATTAAAACTAATTAAAAACATATAGGCATGGCAATGTATACTTGTAATCCCAGTGCTGGGGAGAAAGGGAAAGGAAGTTACCTAGATCTTTGCTGGTCAGCTGACCGAGCCTTATATGGCAAGCTCCAAGCCAATAGGTAACCCAGTCTCAAGGAACAATTGGACCCTTGAGCTGGTTCAGTAGGAAAAGACACTTGCTGATACATAGTGTGGTAGACCACACCTTTGGTCTCGGCTCTCAGGAGACAGAGGCAGACAGATCTGTGAGCTTGGACTACCCGCAGCTGCACAGTGAGTTGCAGGCCAGACAGAGCTATGTAGTGATGCACTGCCTCAAAAACCTATGTGAATGAATGAATGAATGAATGAATGAATCCCCAACCAAAAAAAGCCAAACCCAAGTTTAATCCCTGGAACTCTCGTAAAGGCTGTCTTCAAATCTCTACATGTGTATCATGGCCCTGCTCCCACATCCCCCTCAGCATACACACTTTACACATACACAGAGTAAAATTTTAGGAGCAGGAAAAAAGATCCAGTGGTTAAGAGTGCTTGATTTTCTTGCGGAAGACACAGCAAGAATTCCCAGCACCCACATGCTGATTCCCAGCCACCTGTAACTCCAGTCCCAAGGAATTGGAGACATGTTTTTCTCTTCTCTGCAGGCACCAGGCACCCACCTGGTCCACATGCAAGCAAAACACTCATACACAGAATCTGAAAATTTTAAAATAAGATAGGAGAAGGTGCCAAGGTAGATAGTTTTGGCCTCCACATGCATGAGTGCACACACACATTCACACAGGCATACACGTGTGCAAACCAAATAGGAAACAAAACAACAACAAAAACAAAGTGTGCTGAGAGCTTCTGGCTCATCCTAATAAGCAATTCCCAGTGCTGTTTGTTTCTCCCTCAGTAACAAACTCACAGTCCAGCCAGGAAAAGAGAACAATTATCCTGAAGTTTGTTGTGGAATAACAAGCTCTCTCGAGGCCTCCCACCTGAAGAAAAGTGTATAGCATAAGCTATCACTTGCCACTGGATACAAAGACTGGCTACTGTGAAAACTTGGGGTTTTTTTTGGTCCAGCTAAGAGGTTGTGGTCACAGTGACAGTAACAACCCTCTGTGAAAGAAAGTCCATGTCAGGTTTAGCACTGATAACACCATGGGGGACCTAAAGAAACTGATAGCACCCAAATTGGTACAAGGTCATTCTTGCAAAGTAGAAGTGGTGGCACACACCACTCATCCCAGCACTGGGAGGCAGAGGCACAGCCTGGTCTAAAGAGCAAGTTCCAGGACAGCCAGAGCTATACAGAGAAACCCTGTCTCAACACTCCCTCAACAAAAAAGTGATACATGATCTTTAAGAACCATGTTGTATCTCTGGGATATTACAGAATCAATGCCAGGATGAATCTGGAGCTTTACTACCAACAGGGAGGACTTCCTTGTGCTTGGTGCCCTTTTAAATACTTCACACCAATGGTAAGGAATGTGGGCACACACCTTTAATCCCATCACTCAGGAGTCAGAGGCAGGCAGATGTAGTACCAGGACTGCCAGGGCTGCACAGAGAAACCCTATCATGAAAAACCAAAAACCAACCGAACAAACAAACATTTTAACTTGGGGCCCTACAAGCATTTAAAACTCAGAAAGTCCTCTCCCATTGGATTACTACCATAAGCAGTTAGATTAGTAATGCCTCAGTCCCAGAAAAAAAGATGTGGGGAGGAACTCACAGAATCCTTGAGAGTCCAGGCAGACATTCAATTTCCCTCACCTGAATCTTCAGTTCTTTTAATGTCTGATTAGCCGACACCAGCAGTGCCTTCTCTCCTCGCACCTTTCTGTGCCTCGTGCTCCGCCGGATAACCTGCTTCTGGTAGGCCACGTAGCCCTGTTGGGACGTCTTCTGTCGCTTGGTACCTCCATTGCTCTAAAAACAAGATCCCAAAGAGATTACCCTATTCGGGAGGTTCTTCAGGCAAACAGAGGCTGGATATAACTGCTCCAGAAACCCTCTGACTCCAACACAGGGAGTCCAAGGTTCTACAGATTAGTGGGTTCACACATACGGGGTGTGTGCGTGTAAAAATGAACTTATAACTGCCTGTAAGTAATTTAAAAGCTCGTTATAAAAAACACTTAAAAAGAAAACAAAGTTTCACCTCCAACCAGGAACAACAATAAATTAACAGTTGTGCTGACCTTCTTCTAATCCTGGCACTTGAGAGGTAAGGCAGGAATTCTGAAGGCCAGCCTAGGGCTAGACAACAAGGCCCAGGGCTGGTGAGACGGCCATCAATGCCAAGTCTGACAGTTATGTAATATTTAATTAATATGTTTAAACTAGTTCTCTTGATGCCTTCCACTTGAAGGCAAGTATGCGTGCACACAGTTAAATATCACTTACATATAGAGAAAATGGCTATTTTTTTGTTCCAATTAAGAAGTTGTGACCACAATGATCAAGTGATCAAGGTAGTTTGCAAGACCCCTCTGGTTGTTCCCCAGGACCCACAAAGGGCAAAATGAGAACCAACTCTTGCTGTCTTTTTAACCTCTGTCTTTTTAACCCACACATATATACACAAAATAAACAAACAAATGCATTAGAAAGCTAATAAAAAAAAACCCAAACGAGTCAATAAATTGAAATTTCAAGATTATAGAATTATGTAAATAAATTTTAAGTTCTTTTACATGTTTTCTTTGGGGGAGGGATGGGAGTCATGTACCAGAGGCTAATCTATAGCTCCCTCAGTCTCGCCATTTCCTTGGGGGGTGGGGTGCCACAGGCCTAGTCTACAGCTCCCCCTGTCTGAACTAACCCTCCTGTCCCCACCTTCATAGTGGCAAGATTATAGCAGTATGCCAACACTTCAGATTTACGGAGTTGGGGATGGAAAGTAGAGCTCCTGCATGCTAAGCGTGCACGCTACCAACTGAGCCACATCCCTGGCTCCTTTTGAGAATGATATGGAAGTAAATATGAACTATAAAATCAAAGATTAGGCTTTACTCAAGCAATGTGCTTCTTGTTGTATCAGTGGTGAAGGGAAACGGCTTCGACTATAGTCCCGTGAAAGCAAACAAAAGAACGCCCGAGCACAGCTTGCACATTATAGAAATGCTCATCTCCAGAGTACAGACCACTGTTAAGAACCAAGGCGAAGGTGGACTCCAAGACCCTTGGCTAGATGGAAACCACCCAAGTCACACAGACCATGCAGTTTCATCAACTCGGGTTCAGAGGACACAGGGAATCGTGCCTGCTAGCTTCTCTCAAATGCACTAGACACATTACACGGGAAGCTGTGTTTACCTCTGGAATACTCAGAATCAAATATTTAGAGCAGCATGATCACTGCAACTTACCTAAACATCCACAAAAGCACAGGACTATATATATACAGGTATGATACAGGCTGTACCAGACTTCAGAAAAGAGAATAGCAAGGAGCCAAGTGTTCTAGAACATTTTTTTTTGGTCTGTTTTGAAAGTGTCTCATTATGTAGGTCTGCCTTGAACGTGCCATGTTCTCCAGGCAGTGGGTGATCCTGTCTTCTCAGAGCTGGGATTGGTGTGTGGTGGCTCTCTACTTACAAAGGCCTCACTGAGAGGTTAACAAGAGGTTCAGTTTGCCTGTTAAGCAGGCCAGAGAATAAAAGTGGGATTTTTCAAAATCCTTTTTTTCTGGTTTAATTATATCTGGATAAGATAACTGTAGCTCTTCTCTGGCTTCTAAGATGTCACTGAGTGTCAATTGTGGTGAAAGGCGGTGCTGGGGTCACTGTGGACACATGTGCCTCATTCATATTATGAATGTATTTTGCAATTCATAAAGCAGCTACAAGGGCACAGACTCCACAAGAACCTGGTCTCAGGGTGCTGCCCACTGGCAAGGTTCTGCCCACTCTAGCCAAAGCTTGCATGCGCACAAATGTGTTTCTAAGATTCACAAGAAAAAAAATCAGCCAAGTTAGCAGTCCTGAAAACAACATCTGACAACTCGACTGTGAAGAGGGGTCACCTACAGACAACAGGATCTACTATACAAACCCAACCTCACCTCATGTCCCACCCACAACTAAGATCTTCTCAAACTGACTGTATAAAGGGTCTAAAGGCTTTTCCTGGAATTATTGTTCTTTAACTCATCTCAACCCACTAAAGCCAGCACACTGGTTGTTGTTCCTTTCCCGGCCACTGGTTTTAAAAGGCTTCCAATTACCTAAGTGATATCCATTGAGTGTATCATTAACCTGAATTTCAGATAACACGGAAAGAACTGGGTTGATCTGGCTTAGAGAGGAGGGAAGGGGATTTGCTCAACTCCATTAAGGAGCACTAAGGCCTCGATTTATGGCACGGATTTACTGCCCTGCAGTACAACCAGCAACCATGTTCTGAGACAAAACAGGGGGAGGGGAGGGTGACATTCTGAAGACACTAGGTATCCCCCGGGACTAGTTACTATGCTCTAAACAGAGGGTTAGAAGAGATCCCGCCCTGCCCTGAACCAAAAGTATTTAAAACATTCTAGAGTATTACAATATCCAAACATGGAGAAGGGAGATGGAAGAAAATTATAATGTGTACAAAATAATTATGGCGTAAAAAGCAATGCTCTCCAACATTCTGCATCATATTTGTACACGTGAAATCTTTTGCCATCCACAACTGAGGACAGCACTTCCACACCCACCTGAAAACATCGCTGTGGTCATGACCACAGTGAACAAAATGCTGTTCAGAGAAACAGCCAGCATTTCAAAGTCTGAATCACAAGAAAATGTAGAGTTTGCTACACAACTTGGGCTGAAAATCAAGCTGAAAACAGAGACCAACAAGAAACACATCTGCAAACTCCTAGGTCCATATCACAGCTAGGCAATGTGGCCACACCAGTAAACCCAGCACCCTGGAAGCCAAACAGGAAGACTACGGGATCAAGGCCAAACTTGGTTATGTGGCACTGCAAGGCCAGCAAGCCTGTCTCAAAAAGGAGAATAGAGAAAGAAAGAAAGAAAACACACCAGCACAGATCTGAATAGGGTAATCGAGCACCTCAGTTAGAAAACAAGCCGAAATCCCACATTACCACAGAATGCACCAAGGCCACCGGCTACCAAATTTAACAAAGGAAACTACAATCTGTCTGCCCATGGTCAAAGGGCGGCGCATAAAACCGTGTGGTTTTGTTACTTCATGGGTTTTGTTGCTCTGTTTGATTTTTAAGGTTATTTTTAAGATTCCAACAAAGCATGGACAACAAATACTGGCACATCCTTCTACACTAGCATAGCTGGGTAACTACAAGCAACATTTACCTTGAGGCAACCAAGACTTAAGACTTTTTTCAAAAAGTTTATTTATATTTAATGTATGAGTGCTCTGCATGTACACCTGCCAGAAGAGGGCATCAGGTCCTATTATAGATGGTTGTGAGCCACCATGTAGGTGGAGGGAATTGAACTCAGGACCTCTGGAAGAGCAGCCAGTGCTCTTAACCTCTGAGCCGTCTCTCCAACTCCCCTAAAGACTTTCTTATTCTACATTAAAAATAAAGCAGTAATATCAGTGTGTACTGATAGACCGACAAGTCCACAGACTGTTTTCTGCAATGGGGGAGGCAGAGGACCACTCCAACAGAGAGGAGATGAATGTAATTTAACTACCCTATCTCAGGGTAAAAATATTACAGGTATTAAAAGTCAAACATTAACTAGAAATAGTATGGTTTTAAAAACATCAGTATCAGCTGGATGTGGGTGCACTAACATTAACCCAGACAGAGGCAGACAGAGAGGGAAGAGCAAACGAAGACAGAGAAGACTAGAGGCAGGCAGGTATCACAGTAAATTTCAGTTCATTCCAATCTGGGGTTTGTTATTCCAGAAGACCCACATATTATGGTTCCCAGCATATTAACCAAGAGGCTCTTCTGGCCTCTGTGGGTACCTGTACTCACATGGTGCATACATATACATACACATAAATCTTCTTTTAAAGCCTGAAAATGTATAAAGTGATCTACAGACTATTCAAGGAACACAATGATCTGTTTATTTTCCAGAACCTGAAGCTCATTCACATACCCATTTATACTTCCTATAAGAATAATTTTCTATATATTAGGATAGGGAATCCTAACAGAAAACATTCTTTGGGTTTTGTTGAGACAACCTTGGTCTACAGAGCTAGTTCCAGGGCAGTGACAGCCATGGCTATATAGAGAAATTGTCAGGGTAAAAAAAAATAAATAAATAAAACAAAACAAAACAACAACAACAACAAAAAACCCCCAAAAACTTGCATGGCTATTGAACATACCAAGATACACATGTCTTGTTTTAGTATTCTTTTGCTGCTTAAAATATACTTTTGCCTTAAAAAAAATTTATTGTTATTAAAAATTTTAGCCATGCAGTGGTAGTGCACACCTTTAATCCCAGCTCTTGGGAGGAAGAGGCTGGCGGATCTCCATGAATTTGATGAGGCCAGCCTGGTCTACAAGAGCTAGTTCCAGGACCATAAAACAGAGAAACCCTGCCTCCAAAACAAAACAAAAATATTTTAAGGGTGTTAGTGAGGTGGCTTAGCAGTTAAGAATGAGTACCACTCTTGCAGAGGACCAATGTCGGTACTCAGGAATAACACTGGATGGCTACAAAGGAATAGCCCAGGCTTCTGAGGGGACCTAAACTCATGAGCACATACCCACACCCAAATTACATATAATTATTGTCTTAACTGCATTTTATTTCTTTTGTGTCATTAGCATGTTTGTGGTCAGAAGACAACTTGCAGGAGTTGGTTCTCTACCTCTCCAATATGAGTTCCAGGGACTGCAGGTCATCAAGTCTGGCTGGTGCCTTTATCCCCTGAGCCATCATCACAAATGGTGTCAGATCCCCTGGAGCTGGAGTTATAGGAAATTTTAAACTGCCTGATGTGGGTGGTGGGAAACAAACCCAGTTTTCTGTAAGAGGACCAAGCATTCTACTAAGCAGACCTGGGTGACCACAAACCCTTAGTCCTGCTGCCTCCACTGCAAGAGAGCAGGACTGTGCTTGTGCCACCACACCTCATTACAGCCTTCCTTCCTTTTTCATTTTTCTAAAGACAGCCTCACTCTGGTCCAAAGTGGCCTCAAACTTACAGATGGGCTGTCCTGCTTCAGCATCCTCAATGGTCTTAATCACAAACTGCCCCATTCAGCACTTTTATCTTTATTTGCTTGTTTTGAGACCAGGCTGTTTTTGAATTCTCTAAGTAGACCAGGCTACCCTCAGGCACAGTGATCCACTTGCATCCACCTCCTGAGTGCTATAAAGGTGTGCACCACCCCAGCCACCGCACCTAGCTACTTTTTCCTTCTTAAATGAAATTAATTCTAAAGAAAACAAAATACAGAACAAGTGGAAAGGGGACTAAGAACGATGTCCCAACCAGGGAAGAGACACCAGAAGCATGGAGTGAAAGAAGGCACAATGATGCAAAGACCTTCAATGCATACTTGATTAAAGTCAGGGTCTTTCTCTCCATCTGGCTTAGCTTCTTCCTTGTCCTCTTCTGTCTCAGAACTACTCACATTCAACTCTGGGGCGGAGTCCTTCATCACCTGAATGCACCAGGATCAGAGAAAAATGAGTCAGGCCCTAAGTGAGCATTTGGTAGGGGAAGAGGCTTCCCTGGGACAAGTGGTTGAATCAGGAACCAGGGCCGCTTTCTTTGATCTTTAACTTCTAGTAACCTAACCCCGCGGCCTCCCGGGCCCCAAAGTTTTGTTTACTCATGTACCTTTATTTTATTTATTTTGAGATGGGGGTCTCCCTATTGTACCTCTAGCTGTCCAAAAACTCACTATATAGACCACACTGGCCATGAACTCTGCTGGGAATAAAGGCGTACGCCACTACGCCTGGCTTAGTTATATTTTTTTTTTTTTTGGTTTTTCGAGACAGGGTTTCTCCATGGCTTTGGTTCCTGTCCTGGGACTAGCTCTGTAGACCAGACTGGCCTCGAACTCACAGAGATCCGCCTGCCTCTGCCTCCCGAGTGCTGGGATTAAAGGCGTGCGCCACCATCGCCCGGCCTTAGTTATATTTTTAATTGTGTTTTTTTTTAATTTGGTTTTCTATTAACTGTTTTTCTTATTTAGTTTTATTTGTCTTTTTCATTCTGAGACACACAGTTCAGGTGCCTCAAAAACCAGAAACATCAAATCCCATGGAACTGGAGTTATGAGTTATGACGCACCTGACATAGGAAGTGAAAAACAGAAAAAAGAACTGCTCTTCTGCATAACACTGTGGATATGGCTACTAAACTCAAATTATATAATGGCTGCTTCTTCTATGATGTAAATGGGCTGACGGTCAAAAGGATTAAGGATATTCAGGGGAGAAGTGGAGATGCTTACATTATGTTCCTGTTCTCAGCATGTTTGGAAATAAAAGCCTTTGTTTTAATTTATAAAATACAACTCTACACCTATAATGGATTAATTAGTTAAGGTAGCATTCTTAAGCAATGGATTTAGTAACCAACTGCCTTTAATTCTCCCAAACCCTGGAATGCAACTGACTGGCGTACGTGGTCTCCTCCCAAGGCCAATACTAATACAGAAGAATGCTCTGAAACCACTCCTCCCCATTTCACCTGCACTTCAGATCAAGGCTGAGGCCCAGCCTGGCTTTCCTTGTCCTGTTATGCTCCCAGCTCTCTTCCCACATGTAAAACCACAGAGAGGGCAATTTTTTTAAACCAAAACTCAGACAGCACTGGAAATTCTCCTACTATTTTCCAATTGCCCAAGTTCAATGCTAAGCGGGCAGATTTGATGCCCTACATCTCCCAGTCATGCCCACAAGAAGAGATGGTACCTTTTTGTTGTCCACAACTTTGTGGACATAGATGGTGGCCTGGGTGTATTCTCGAAGGTCCCTCTGCTGTTGGCACAACAAGCCTTCTCTGCAATCTGGACAGAGATCTAGAAAACAGTAGAGCAGAAATAAGTGAAGAATTGCTTCAGAAACCCGTATCAGTTACTACACAGCATTTTCAGTAACTGATATGTTAGGCTGCATGCAAATGAGGAGGAAATCTGTGCACTAAACGTTCAGAAGAGGATGGCTCACGGGTCTGCCAGAAAATAGAGCACTGACAGACCCTTCCCTTCCCCCTTAAACTGTCAACTTTTAATGAAAGGAACAAAGAGTAACATGCAAACTTACCAGGCTCAGAAATATACTGCACTTCAGAAGGGTTTACGCCTCCCACTTCAATTCTTGTGATTTTAATTACTTTATCCACAACAAAGAGCTTTTGAATCATTTGCCATTCGCTGGGCCATATGAGAGCTATACTGTGCAAAAAAAAAAACAAAAACAAAAACAAAAAACAACAAACAACATGCCTTAAGACACGTGGAGAGTGACAGAGCAAACATCCTACAACAAAATCAGTACCACCAACAATTTACTGTAAGAAACAAGAGGGGAATGACTTATTAAAAATGAAACCAGAGAAACAGTGAAACTTTATGAATAGCTCTGATATGAATCTACACTCACAAGCTGGATAAAATAAATTAGCTGCGAAAGAAAAGGTACAAGATAAGGCTACTTATAGAAAACACATAAATATACAATTAAATGTGCAATACTTTTGACTACGTATACATAAATTCTGCTTTGGGTTTTAAGCCAAGGTCTCAACACGTGGCTGAGGTTGGCCCAGAAACTGTGACTGTCCTGCCTATGTTTCAGTATGCATCCTTTAAAATGATGACTTTTTGAGACAGATGACTCAAATTTATAGTAGTTACTGCAAGACAAAAGGAGAGGAAAATGAAAATAAAAAGGAAGTTAAGTACTAGGGGCCTTCAACTATAATCACATTGTCTGACTGTCTGCTGGGATTCTAGTCATGTACCACCACACCCACACGATGGGCTGTGTACCATCCCAGGTCCTGACGTATGTTAGGCTCTAGGCACTCGGCCACATCCCCAGCTCTAAGACCATACTGTTTCTAAATGTCTAGTGGTCATAATGGCAACACAGCAATGGAAGAAGTGATGAGTCTAGAAAATATGTATTTTTTCACTGATTTTCTTTAAATGACCTCAAAGATCATTAAAATACAAATAAGCTCAGTCCAGCTTCATCCCACAGCACTTTTTAATTCTCCTATTTACTTATGTGCTGCTGTGGGCCAGTGTCTTTCTCTTCGCTCTAAAGAGTTGACAGCTGTCGAAAAAGACAGCTATTAGGTGTGTGCAAAAGCAACTGTGGTTTTCACTTGCTGAAATTGCCATGTGAAATGAGAAGACATTTTTAATTGATGTGGTAATGCCATACATCATTTAGATGTACATTTCTCACTTTGTACTTAGCTAATGACTATTGTTATCAATTTTATGTTTACTTAATATTATGGAAATTATGTTAGATAAAAATCAAATTCAAGTAATTTTCCTTCTATGGGTTGTAAACCAACAGAGACAGCTTGCAATAAACACAGTGTTTGTTCAAAGAACTGCTAAGAACAGTGCAGTGGAAATCCAAAATGTTTTTCAAAGGAGATGAGAAGTAGAGAAGCTGGCCATGCATTTGACAATAAATGACCCATTGGGATCAATTACTGAGGCTGACCCTTTTAAGTAGGCAAAGGTTGCCAATGAACTCAGTGTGGAGTATTATTCTGCTATTTGAAGGAAATTGGAAAGGTAAAAAGGCTGGGCAATTGGGTGCCTTGTAAGGTGTGGGTGCCTTGGTACATGTGATTTTGAACTACTGCCCTATCTTAATTGTGTGCAATGAAGAAACATTACTCAATCCAATTTTGATGTGCAATAAAATGTAGAGTGTATATGACGCTTGGTACAGCCAGTTTAAATGGCTGGTCCGAGAAACTCCAAAGCCAACCCATACCAAAATGTCTGGTCACTGGTATCTGGTGCTGGTCTGATCCACTGCAACTTCTGAACACCCACAAAATCCTTACCCCTGAGAACCACACTCAACAAATCAAGGAGATGCACCAGAAACTGCACCACCCACAGCCAGTCAGAATCAGTTAACAGAAAGGGCCTAGCTCTCTGTATGTTCAACCACACAACTTCAAGAGCTGAATGAACAGGGCTGGGAAGTTTAGTCTCATCCACCACCTTCAACTCACTCCTTCTGACCAGCTGACTACCTTCAAGCATCTTGACTGTTCTCAGAGAAAACACTTTCACTGCCAGCAGGTTGCAGAAAATGCTGAGCACAGAGTTGAAAGTACTGGAATACATATATTTCTCATTGGCAAAAAATGTTTGTAATATTTCCAGAATTGATTAATAAAAATGTTTGAGTCTTGTTTTAATCTAAAATTTCAGTCTGAAGCTGCAATTCCTTTTGCACAAACCTAATACAACCAAGACTACACTGACTATATGACAGGTAATGAAGCTGACCTAGAGAAAGACTGCCAGACAAAGGAAAACATCCAGGTAACTTGTTGACTGTGGGAGAATAAAAGACAAGAACAAATTTCCCCGGGTGGCTGTATATCCTGCATAAAGAAGCAACCAATCCATCTCTTTTTAAAGACAGGTGTCCAGTCATAGGTCATATTTAGAAGGAACACAGTGAAGTAGCTCAGCGCATTCCTAACAGACCTTCATGCTAGACAAAAATCCCCTAACCACACTTGATCACTGGGGACAGAGAGCCACACGAAGAGAAGAAACTCACAGTTTCGAGTCTTCTTTGGTGAGGGAAGGAAATGTAAACATGAGTCCTCCGTGTGGACACAGAAGGGCAGAGTTCCCAATTGATGACACAGGAGTAGACCTTGCAGGCTTTCTATTCAAACAAGACAGGAGGTAAATTCAACACACTACTGCATGAGGAGAGTTCTTATTTATTTTTGATTTTTCAACACAGGGTTTCTCTGTGTAGACATGGCTGTCCTGGAACTTGCTTTTATAGACCAGGCTGGCCTCAACCTTGCTTGAGATCTGCCTGCCTCTGTCTCCCAAGTGCTGGGACTTGTAACACCATTCCCAGACAGATTTTAATTTGGGGGGAGTGGGGAGTTTTCATGTGCCCATAGCGGGGTGGGGGTAATATATATGCCTGTCGTCTATGTGCAGGAACGTGTGTACTAGTACACAACTCGAGTGTGCGGAAACCCAGGGATGATAGCAGGAGTCTTCATGACTTTCCCGAGCCTCTTACTTGAAGCCAGAGCTCACCTAGATGGGCTACTCAACTAGCAAACAGGTTCTGGAGACACCCAGGCTCTGCCTTCTGAGAACTCAATTACAGGTGAGCCTTCATTTGCACAGGTTATGCAGATCCAAAAGCTCATGTCATATGTGCTTCTAACAACTGAGCCACGAATGTCCACAGCCTGTAATATTTTATTTATTTATTTATTTTGGTTTTTAAGACAGAGTCTCACTGTGTAGCCCTTGCTGTCCTGGAACTCACTATGTAGACCAAACTGTCTTCAAACTCAGAGATCTGCCTGCCTCCGCCTCCCGAATGCTGGGATTAAAAGCATGCACCATTACACCTGGCTCCCCAACATTTCTTTTAAATAATAATTTTAAACTAGAGATACATGTAAATGGATATTATTAATTAAATATTTGTTCTGGGTTTAGCTGTGTCACTTCGTAGAAAACAAAGGTTGTCTGTGTGTGCCAGGAAAAGTAATCACGAATGCACCATTAAGGGAATCCATGGATTTTTTAAAAATACCAGTCAACCCACAAAAAGTAAAGAAATTTCTTTTTTTACCTAACAAATTTCCGCCATTCGTCTAAAAAGAAGTGTGACACAATATAGAGAGTATCCGTATCCTGGAAACAAGAAGCACAAACATAATGTGTTAGCTTCATCTCCCCTCTGCACCCCTTAAATTGTCAAGGTGATTTTCTTTTTCAAATTCATGTTGTCATGTAACTTGCTAGGTAGCTCAGGTTGTCCTCAAACTCAGAACACAGAACACAATCCTCCTGCAGCCTCCCACACTGCATAGATCTGAGTGACCATACCCAGTGTGAACCACACTGTTTACAACGCAAATAAATGTATCCCCCACTCAAGCTGTGCAATAAAATGGAAACGGCGAGCTAGTCTATCTCCCAATTAGGAAAGGATGTGAAAAAGGAGAGGGCTGGGATGATCTGAAATACTTTTGGCTGAGGCCTTTAAAATCGTGGGACTTTTTCCCTCTCTGTGGCAATCATGGTACCTCTGGCCAGTTACTGAGACACGGTCTGTTTTTGTCCTGAAACAAATTCGGAAGGGAAGCCTTCTGTTCATTTGCGATCATTTTATGTAAGGCTTCGTTTTCTTCCCCTTCTCGTTCTAATATCTGAAAAAGATGGAAGCAGTTAAGCTGTCTCTCTTTGACAACATGTTTCCCTCTACATATACACCCGTTCCACGGGAAGGGCACGCCATTCCCACAGTACCTTGCACTGCGAGCAGCACTCTTTGTAACTTGGGAACTCAGGAGCCTTTGGGAAGTACTGCCGCAGTTTACTCCAGGCCTCTTGAGAAACGAGCCTCCTTTCATTTTCAGATATGCTTAATCCCCCTAAATTAAAAGAGAAAAAATTTGCTTATAAAAACAGGGATGAAAGAAGTCAACATCTATTCCTTAAACATTTTAAAAGTGTATATATATTTCTGTGTGCACCTGTGTAGGTGTGTAAGTGCACGGCATGTGTGTGCAGGTCAGAGGACAGCCGGCAGGAGTCAGTTCTCGCCTTCTACCACGTGAGTCCCGGGTGTCAAACTCAGGTAGGTCAGACTGAATCACAAGCACTTTTACTCAGAGCCTAATCCCTATTCACTATCCTAATGGAGAGTCTACAGTGCTCTCTTTTCCTCAGATTCATTTGTGAGTTTCAGCACTGTCTCTAGCCGCAGTGTCAGCTGAGCATACACAGGCTTCTACCCACCATCCCCAGGGGTTAAGAGGACTTCATTTCCACCCACACACAAAATTGCTAATTCCCTTAAAAGACTATGCTCGACTTCTCAAAGTATCTTGCAATGAGCAGTATGTTCACGGATGTATGGACCTCAAACTGTTCTCTTTAAATCAAAGTTAGGTAATAAAACAATGTCCTGACTAATCTAAGCCCTTGCCATTCAACCTCTACATTTATTCCCTAATTGCAATTGGTTTTGGGACTTTTATTTTTCCTTTTAAATTTTATTTTATATATTTGGCTGTTTTGTCTGAATGTATGTCTGTCTGTGCACCACATGGGTGCCTGATACCAATGTAAGTCAGAAGGCATCATAGTCCCTGGAAGAGCAATCAATGCTCTTAACCACTGAGCACTTGGCTTTCTTGGAGCAAGATGTATCTATGTAACTCAGGATGGCCCTTTAGCCTCCTGTACTGGGATGCTGTACAGGCGTGGGCTACCACATCCAGCCTGCAATTACTTTTGAAAAATCCTCTGGCTGTTCAAAGATCCCAAAAGACAAGAAAAGAATAGGGGTCATGGCCACTCTGCCACTTTTGTAATGTCAGGAGGGCTATAATCTGAACCATAGTAATTTCAGTGAGGCTCCTCGATTTACTGTTCAATCACATGCAGCCTGACTGACTTCTGGTTATGTTGTATTTTTTCAACTATGCTAAAGTAAAATATGAGTGAACTGGGCTGACTGACATGGGTTTCATTGCTGAGAGGCCCACAAGCAAGTTGTGTTCATGCCCACTGGTCAGGTACCTACAGATGAGTTACCAAACAATGCAGCCACCACAGCACCTGAGCAACAAACATGCCTTTGCCATGCCAAACATGGTCTAATAATACAAAATGTAATCTTCCTGAGTTAATTCTAGTCCTCAATTCTTCTGACCCTTTGAATAATCTCAAGGAAAGGCTACCTTGAGCCAGGTGTGGTGATGTACTATAAGACTAAAATAAAATATAGTATAGTAACTGGAGCCTGAGGAGGTCAAAGGTTCAAGGTCAGCCTCTGCTACAAAGGACTGTCTGAAGGAAAGTGGCAAGCAAGTGGCACTGACTGCTCTTCCAGGGGATCTAGGTTCAATTAACAGCACCCACATAGCAAGCAGCTTACAGCTGTCTCTAATTCCAGTTCCAGGGGACCTGACACCCTCACACAGACATGCATGCGGGCAAAACATCAATAAACATAAAATTAAAAAAAAATCATTGGAATGATGAAACACATATAGCAACATACAAATGTTGAACTGCAAGAGAGAAAGAAAAATCTTAACTAGGTTACAATCCTATGAGCAACTTACACAAAATGAGAGACAAATCAAATATACATAGGATATTGACATAAAAATTTTGCTGCAAAATAGGATACTTAAATAGGGCTAGATTGTTGCTCTTGCAAAGGACCCAGGTTCAGTTCATAGCACCTACAAGTCTGCTCATAGCCAACTGCCATTTCAGAGGGTCCAATGCCCTCTCTTCTGGCCTCTACAGGCACTGATGTATAGATGCAGAGTACAGAACTAAATTCAGTGCTCTTAACTTTGGTGCCATCTCTCCATCCCCATGTATAGACACATCTGCACATACATCTGTATCTCCCTCCAACACACAAACAGGATGTACGCAATACAAGAAAATTACACTGTTGGCAAAAGTCAAGACGTAACCAGAGTAACAGGCAAGATGGCTGAGCAGAAGACTGGTGCCATGAAAGCCAGTCAACTTGAGTTCAACCTTGCAAATCATGTAAAGGCTGAAGCAGAGAACTGACTTCACACAGAAGCATGTCCCCAGACAAGGATAATGAAGTTTACAAAGCTAAGAATGAACTTTTAAAAGGAAGTGATCAGGAGCTGGGAAGAGAGTTTAGTGGTTAAAAGAATGTTTTGTTCTTGCAGAAGACAGGAGTTTAATTCCCAGCATGCACCTCAGGCAACTTAACTACCTATGATTCCACTCGAGGAGCTCCAATGCCTCTGGCCTCTGTGGAGGCCAGCACTCATAGACACATACTCACACAGACATGCTAAAAATTAAAATAAAATGCCACCAGATTTACTATGATACAGACCTGCCCCACAGACCTGGTGTGGGCATCCAGAGGTTGAGAAAATGGGATTCAAAACTTGGTCTAGCCTGGTGTTGCACTCAGAATCTCAGTATCCAGGAGCTGAGTCATGGGGATTAATTTAAGTTTGAAACTAGCCAGAGCTATTGAGGTTTCTCAATAAATGAATGAATGAATGAATGAATGAATGAGCATATAAATGTAGTATAAAAGAAAATCAAGAATTAAATTTAAAACCATTGGGTATTACCTTGGTTGGCTTAGAACTTGCTATGAGTCCAGGATAAAAAGAATTCTCAGGAAGGTGTGCTGACACATTCCCGTAATCCCAGCACTTAGGAGGTGGAGGCAAAAGAATTCTGAGTTGATGATACCCAACCTGGACTACATAATGAAATCCAAACAGAACTTTAGGGAAAGGAAGGAATAAAACATGGTGGGAGCTGATGCCAAACGGACAACAGATACAAGCTTCTAGCTTACCATGAGGACACAGGATGTCTTCATTAAAATTTAATTCCTCCTCCTCTTCTTTTTTTTCTTCCTTTGATTCATCTAATCAAAAAGAAGAGACAATTACAGCTCTGGCTGTTATAGTTAAAAATTAAAGCAGCATAACTTTAAGCAAAGAAACTTGAAATAATTCTGAAAAATTAAGGCAATTGAGACTTGTACAGGCGCGCAGAGCAGGCTATACTTCCCTTCCCTAAGAGGAAAGGAGAAAACCTCAACAACAGCGAAGGATTTGAAGAGTTATGCAATGACCCTGGCTTGCACTGTGATCCCAGCACTGAAGACAATGAAGGTGGGAAGATCAGGGCCAGCTTGGCCTGTGTGGGAAGTTGTCTCCTCCCGGCTCCGCAGACAGGGTTTCTCTGTGGATCAACAGCTCTGGCTGTCCTGGAACTAACTATGTAGACCAGGCTAGTCTCAAACTCAAAGAAATCTGCCTGCTGCTGCCTCCCAAGAGCTGGGATCAAAGGTGTGTGCCACCACTATCCATCTAATTTTTATTATTATTAATATTATAAAAGGAAAATAAGTTGACTTAGGAATCAGAGGTGGGTGGATCTGAGTTCAAGGACAGCCTCATCAACAGAATTATACAATGAAACCCTGTCTGGAAAAAACCAAACAAACAAAAGCTTATCCAATAAAACATGCTTTTTCTCAATCTGAAAATTTACATATTCTATTAGCTCTAGTCAAGTGTCATCTACTGTCACTTTCACCTCCCTGCCCTGAGCAATTCAACAGACCGTTACATAGATACATGATGTTTATGAAGTCTGTGTCACTGTCAACACCTCCCTGACCTTGCTTGTCTACACTGTCACCATGTATAATCCTAGACTCTGGAAATCAATCAAGGAAGAAATCTTCAACATTTGGAGACTGAACTAGTTCTTCTTTTTCTCACCCTCCCCCCTTTTCTTTTGTTTGGTTTTGTTTTGTTTTTTGAGACATGGTTTCTCCATATCTTTGGAGCCTGTCCTGGAGCTGGCTCTGTAGATCAAGTTGGCCTCAAACTCAGAGATCCACCTGTCTTGGACTAGTTTTTCAACGGCTTTCCAGGTTAGGAGACAGTTTCATCACACTCAGTCTATCCTGCCACGTGTGAAGATACACACCTATGATCCCACCTTGGGAGGTGAAGGCAAGAGGACTATAAGTTCAATGTTAGCCTGGTCGATGGGGCTCCTCAAAGTGGGGGAAATGTTACAAGTTACTTAAAAAGCTAAAACAATGACTTAAGTGTCACACAATGGTAGAACACTTGCTCAGCACGTGCAAGTCTCTGAGTTTGATTCCCAGTGTGTCAAAAACCCAAAACAGAACCATGCCCCCCAAAAAAACCTTAGGTAGAGAACTAGGGGCAGAAGAACACAATCAGATATATTCTGTCATCTGTCACAAACAGAAGTTATTTCTTGAATGTGAGATGGTAACCTCAATAATAACTTTGGAAAAGGTTAAGTGTCAACACCAAGTTAATCTCTTGTATCAGACTCCTAAACTCTTGATATTAGCAAGTCAGAGGCAAGCATCTAACGCTCCCTAGTCATCCAGGAGCCTGCACCCATCACAGAGCAGTGTGTGCCAATTACACATGTAGCTGACTCTCTGCCTGCTGGGAAAATAGCACAGGATGAAGCACTGCAGGTAAACTGGACATCACATAGCATAACGTGTAAGAACGCTCGCTACCTCTGTCCCCACACACTGACTGTGGAAAAGTGAACCGGATCCGGTTAGTACACACACCCATACAGTGCCTATGCAGCCAGCAGTGCAGCACGGTCCCTGAAACCCCAGCAGGTTTCTTGCCTCCTGGCAGGGACTGGGAGTGGGAGGAATGACACATTGTTACATTTAAGCCTCAAAAAGTCTGAGGCTGAGTGTACTGGTGCACAATTTTAATAACAGCAATCTAGAGGCAGGTGGATCTATGTGAGTTCAAGGCTAGCATGGCCAACATAATAAGTTCCAAGATAGGCAGAGCTACATAAGAAATCCTGTCTCAAAACAAAAATAACCCCACCCCACCCCACCCCCCAAAAAAAGAATGGGAAGAGGAGTTGAAATTAGGCCTATTACAGGGAAAGCAAAATGGAAAATATTTTCAAGATAGCCCAATGTAAAGACATTTCTATTTTCTAAGTCTACATAAAATGAAGAGCTGATGTATGAAGTGAGAAGGTGTGTGCTAGGTCAGATGATACCACTATAACTGTAGCAAGGGTTTTCTAATGACAAGAGCACACAACTGAAATCAATGCTAAGCCCTTGCATCACAGAAACAATAAAATATCTTCAGAAAGAACAATAAAATATCTTTTCAAATTTAAATTGTATGTATATGGGTGGGTGTTTGAGCACTGGCATGTAGCCTTGGTGCCAAGGAGGCCAGAAGAGGGCATCAGATCCCCTGCGACTGGGGTTGACAGGCAATTGTAAGCCACTTTGTGGATGCTAGGACTTGAACATGGGTCCTCTGGAAGAGCAGCCACTGCTTTCATTACTGAAACACCTCTCCAGATCAATAAAATATTTTAATCAAAAGGAAAACTAACTGCAGGTCATGGTGGGGTACCTACAGTCCCAGCATTTGGGAGGCAGAGGCAGGCACATTGTTGTCATTTTGAGACCAGCCTGTACTATATAGTGAGTTCCAGGATAGCCAGGGCTACAGTGAAACTGTCTAAAATGAAAAAAGAAAAGAAAACCTAAAATTTGAAAATGCACAGCTCAAGAGAATGGGAATCCAGCTAAGCAGTAGATAACATGCTCAGCAAAGGCAAGTTTAGTCCTCCTACCCATTCAAGACACAAACTAGAACAGCTCCTTTCTAAAAGGAGCATCATCTAGGAATCCATGTTAAGTACAGACATTATAAGCTGTAATGCTTAGTCAGGTGTGGTGCGCACTTGTAACTACAGCAGTAGAGTGTGGCAGGAAGATGTCAAGTTCCAGGCCAGTGCTAAATAGTGAGCTTGACACCCTGACACACACACATACACACAGACACACACACACACAAAGGAAACAAGAGAGAAGAGAGGAGAGAAGAGAGGGAAGGAGGGGAAGGGAGGGAGGGAAGGAAGAATGAAGGAAGCGAGATGGGGAGGGAGGGAGGGAGGGAGGGAGGGAGAGAGGGAGGGAGGGAGGGAGGTAAAGGAAGCAAGGAGTGGAAATAATGGTTAAGTGTAGAAAATACATGATTTCCACAAAGCTCAACAATTTAATATAACAGCAGGACAGTAGTGGCGAATGAACACCTTTAATCCCCGTTCTTAGGAGGAAGATGTAAGTGATCTCTTGAATTGAAGAACAGACTGGTCTACAGAGCTAGTTTCAGGACAGGGCTACACAGAGTTACCCTGTCCCGAAAAACAAAAATACAAGCATATAAATGTCAGTATTTGGGAATAAAATCAATAGAGCTGTAAGTTAGTGGAGAGGTAGCATACTTGCCTAGTTAGTGTGAGACCCTGGGTTCTAGGTCAAGTACCATAAAATAACAAAACAAAGGGGGTGTGAGGGAGGAAATCGGGTGAAAATAACTATTCACAAGTCACTAACGACATAGCACTAGTGAGCATAATTGACCTCAAAATTAGTGATGGCCAAAATCACAAGTCTCCAGTTTAGACCTAAGTTATTCTAAATGCCTTTGGCATCTGTTTACTGTTAGGTTTACAATAACATGATTTCCTGTCTGAAAGCAGGACTCAAAAAGAAAGAACAAGTAACAAGTTTTCCAAGCCCTGCCCTCTTTGAGGCAGAGTGCAGAGGTCACATTGGTCATTGGCTGCTATCCTAAAGCCAAACTGCTGAGCTCAACAGCATGCAGGGCTTTCTGAAGCCCATTACCCTTCCCTCCCTGGAGGCTGGAGCAGAACTGACTTGACTCTGCACGTGACTGACTAGGTGGCACTTGAGCCCAGAGCTCACTAAAGGAGATGCCCCCAAGGCTCTGTTGAGTCTGTGAGTGGAATTTCAAAAGTTTGAACTCTGTTATTTGCCCTTAGCTGTTTCTGAGACCTTGAGACTTAATAAACATCTTAACATACAGGGGCATAAATTTTTATTAAGGCAATTTTACTGAAAATGAAGATTGAAAGGCTAGGGCCTAGTGTTTCCTACGGAGCACATGAGCAAGCTGAACACAGTGCAGTTGTGGGGAAATGGCGGGAGGGGGACCACAGTGCAGCTTTGCCATGGAGATACTTCAACTCTGCAAGCACTCGTGAAAGTTCAAGAAAAGGCTAGGCACAGAAACCTACAGTGCAAAAGCAGCAGCAGCTGGGGTGGTGGAAGGATCCCCATGGATAAAGAGAACAAAGCCACCCCCCACCAAAAAAAAAACTACAAAGATTCTAACTCTGGAGTCATGGATTCCCCCATCACCTTTATTGAAGGGGCTCCCGTTTATCTTCCCGTTGCTTTGCTCCGCCTCACCATCCTGCTCATCTAGTTGTTCAAGGGCCAGCTGGCGCCAGCTGCGCAAGGAAGACTTTCCCACCCAAAATCCATCATTGCTGTGGAAAAGAGAGAATGTTAAGCCCTAGCAGGTGACTCTTAATGTTCCCTCCTTTTATGTCTTTCCCCTGAAGCCCACAACTAAAATGATTATAAACAGTCAAATCACTACTGTGCACACAACTGTTTTTAATCCGATTCCTGATTCGAGCCATTTTCATGCCTCACTACTGAACTCCAGGTGTCTATTGCTTTGTTTCCATTCTAGATCATGCTATCTTTCTCACACGTTGAGTTCAAATCCATTTCAATCATATTCAACTTTCTTCCACTTGATCACTACTCTTAGCACACACAACTCTTAGTATCTAAGTTGGCACAAAGATACTTAGGTATACACACCCTTACTGATGTCACAGAGGAGGCCTTGTAGAATTGGGCCAAAGGGAGACCAGGCTGAGGTCTGCTGGGAGATACTTAGGAACAAATGACATGAACACAGCAGATGCCATCACTTAATGACTCTTGGTTGAATTAGAGGTGCTCTGTGGAGTGGGGTTTGACACCCAACACCCACTGAATCCCCCGTTTGTCTCAGCATCACTTCATCCTTGCTGAAGGAGACATACCTTCCCAGGCCTGAGTGATGGTTCTCCAGACAAGCTTTCTGTACTCTAAGTCTGAGTATTGGCTCACGTGGTCAGGTTCAGACCTCTCCCCTTCCTCTTTTACAGAGCGAAGGCTGTGTCTGACTCAATTTATTTTCACAGAGTAAGCACTGCAAAAATTCATTTTTTAAGACAATTCTAATTTAGCTGGGTGATGGTGGTACATGTCTTTAATTCTAACACGCAGGAGGCAGAGAGGCAGGTGGACTGTGAATTCAAGGCCAATTTGGTCTACAGAGAGTTCTAAGACAGCCAGAGCTACTCAGAGAAACCCTGTTTTAAACAAAACAAAATTTCTAGTTTAAGGCTGGAAAGAGGGCTCAGTGGTTAAGAGCACTGGCTGTATTTTCAGACAACCTGAGTTTGATTAAGAGAACCCAAAAGATGGTTCACAGCTGTCTGTACTCTATTCCCCAGGGATCCAATGACCATTTGCACCTTCTGTGGGAAACATAAACAAGATGTACATGCAGGCAAAACACCTACACATAAAATAAATAAATTTTTTAAATTAAACTAAGAAATGTGTATGCGGTGTGTTTTGCAATGTTTAAAGGTGCATGGGCACACATATGCTTAAAGGTACAAAGTGTTTTGAGGTGCAAGGTCAGTGGTCTTCCTCTTTATTCACTGAGGAGGGGTCTCTTTACCCGGAGTGCACTGCTTCTAGCTTGTCCCAGGAATCCCCCACTTCTGCCTCCTGGGACGACCATGTAACTCTTTATGTGGCTATTCTATTCCCCAGGGATCCAATGACCATTTGCACCTTCTGTGGGAAACATAAACAAGATGTACATGCAGGCAAAACACCTACACATAAAATAAATAAATTTTTTAAATTAAACTAAGAAATGTGTATGCGGTGTGTTTTGCAATGTTTAAAGGTGCATGGGCACACATATGCTTAAAGGTACAAAGTGTTTTGAGGTGCAAGGTCAGTGGTCTTCCTCTTTATTCACTGAGGAGGGGTCTCTTTACCCGGAGTGCACTGCTTCTAGCTTGTCCCAGGAATCCCCCACTTCTGCCTCCTGGGACGACCATGTAACTCTTTATGTGGCTATTCAGGACCTGAACTCATCTTCATATTAGCAAGGGAAGCCCACAGTCCACAAGATCATCTCCCCAACCGCAGAAAGAAAAATATTTTTGTTAAGCATCCTGGGCTCAGCAGTAAAGGTGCTTGCTGCCAAGCATGGCAGGACCTGAGTTCAATTCCTTAGACTACACAGTGAAAGGAGAGAACTACCAACTGAAAGCTGTACTCTTTCATGTCTACACGGGTCAGGAAATGTGCACATGCCCACAAACATGAACAAACACACATACACATGCAAGTGAATACTGTGGGGGAAAAAAGTAAAGGATGCTCACTCGCTCCTGTAGTCCAAGATGTCCTCCTGTCTTAGCCTCTAAAGTGCTAGGAATACAGCTGGATTCCTAGCTATTCTCACGGTACAGGTTTTACTTGAGAACTGCTCGGCTACCAACCTTCCCTTAACAGTCAACTCTTTCCTAAAATGAGCAAGCAGCTGTCTGATTACTGCCTGGCAATGTTGTAGGCTCTCATAAACAGCATGCTGTGTAACATACCCCTTCATTGTTGTTTTCAGCAAATTGTTGACGGTTTTGTAATCTTCATTTAATTGGCTCTTCAGGCGCAGTACACGACAACGTTCTACAACACAGTCCTTACACAGGGCTTTCACTAAAGGCAAGAAAGACAATGAAAATAAACTTCATTCTCACACAGACTTCCTATGAGAATGTTTCCAGTACTAAACAAAATACACAAGAATTTTAAATCTAAACCACAAATTCCTGCCACTCCCCAAAACAGGATTTCTCTGTTTAACAGCCCTGGGAGACCTCAAACTCACAGAGTTCTGCCTGCCTCTGCTCCCGAGTGCTGGGATTAAAGGCGTATGATACCACACCTGGCCAAATCGAATTATTACAATAGTCTTTCTATATCCCGATCTTGTTGATCTAGATACTCACTCATACAATAAGTTTTCTAAATAATGAAGACAGTGTTTATCAACTATAGTAGTTAATCAAACGAATCTAACTAGCGGAGGGAGGGTCAACAACATATCCAACAACTATACATGTAATAGTCTTCATGCAGACATAACTTCCTAAGCACAGAACACTGAAGGGATGAGAACAATAGAGGACATAGCACAGTGCGCAGATGCTCTAGAAATCACATGCTGTTTCTGTGTTTAAATTTCATTTATTATTACTGAGGGTATATAATACACGTGCACATGCACGTGCCACAGTACACATTTGAGGACTAACTACATGGAGTCTGTTTTTTTCCATCAAGGGGGTCCCAGGAAGCATTCAGGTCAATGGGCTTTGTGGCAAGTGCTTTCACCTACAGCGACACCACATCGGTCCTGAAATGTGATTCCTTGAAAGATCCTATGGGAGTCGGAGAGATGGCTCAGTGGTTGAGAGCACTTGTTCTTGCAGACGACCCAGGTCAATTCCCAAGACCAACATGGTGGCTCACATCCATAACTACATTTCCAGGGGATGATGCCCCCTTCTGCCCTTCTTGGCACCAGGCATACACATTATACACAGACATACATGCAGTCAAAACACCTATAAAAAGATTTAGCCAGGCAGTGGTGGTATGCGCCTTTAGTCCCAGCACTCAGGAGGCAGAGGTGGATGGATCTCTGAGTTCAAGGCCGGCTTGTTTACAAAGTGGGACAGCCTGGGATGGGACAGCCATGGATACACTGAGAAGCCCCCCCCCCTCCAAAAAGATTCCCATTGCATGATTTATTAATTCTGGATGGTGAGTACTTTAGAATGCAAAAGGCCTAGAGCATATAATTAAATGTTAAGCATAACCAAAAGTAGCACTTCACTTCAGGAAAGAGGAACTGGAGGTCATGCAATTCCCTTAGCCTCAGTGGAGATTAGCATAGAACCCATGTGGCCAGTTGCTCATTAAAAAGAACATGTAGTGTAGACATACTAAATAAATAAAAATTTTAAATAGAAATAAGTAGACACTTGCTTGAGAAGAAGTAGCCAAAACTAAACAGATTGGCTAATTTTGGCTATATAGCTTCTGTACATTCAAGAACTAAGCAGATTTAGAAACTAAGAAGCAATTTCCCAAACCTACACAAACAAGACAGAATGAGCTTTGCAAACAAAGGCTCAAGGCTTTGAGAAAGATTAGTGTATGTGCTGGGAATCCATTCTGTCTGCACTCCACCAGTCGCCTAGCAGCGCTTCAGCTCTACTTGGCGAGCCCATTTTGCAAAGTATAAGAATGCTCAGTCTCTCAGTTAACTTCAGGTTGTCATCCAGTACTGATCTCAGAGAGTAGAGTGTAAGCCGAGAGGATGGACACTCTGACTTACCAGTTAGTCTTGGACCTCCTCCATAGCGACTGTAGAAAATGTCAGCCGCATATTCCGATATTCTCTTCATAATTGATATTTTATCTGGATGAAGCTTGTCGTGGGAACATAGGCAAGCATGATTATCAATAGGTTTGGTGGGTGTTGATTCATCCAACCACTTCTGCAGCCATTCAAGAGAGACAAATTCATAGGCCTCTGAGAAAAAAAGGAATGGGAAGAAACTATGTACTTTTACAGTTTTGGACTAAGTGATACAAGTCATTGTCCTCAAAAGACAGCACAAACTTTGTCCAAAGTCAGCAGGATCAGAAGAATCAGTGGGAGGTGTCTGATGTGTGACTACAAATCCCAGTTAGCTAGCACTTCTGTGACCTCGCGTTATACATGGAAACACATCTGCACAGAGCCCTATGGGATCGGCGGGTATTATTAGCCACATTCTACAAGAGGCATCCACAGAGAGAAGTGCCTTGCTTGAGAGCACAGCAGAGCTTCCATGAGGACACTTGGGTGCTGAATGGAAAATCATCACCTCATCCCTTACTCTGCACAACTGTGTGATATATATCTGAAGATTAAAATGAGAAGTCAGGATCGAGCTGAATTAAAAATTTAACCTTGTCACCTACAACCACACTTCACAAGCTCATTTCATCATTCAACTTTCCTGAATCCAGGATGGGACTGGTATTAAGAAAAAGTATTTATGATTTCCCCAAAGTCTGTGTTACGATCTATTCATTTCATTGCTATTAATTTCAAGAAAATAATGCATTTGAAATAAGTTCTAGGGCAGAGTACACTAGAACAGAATTATCAGTTTTCAGGTTCAAAAACTAAGAACACCAGACATTTCAAAACAAATTTTAACTTGGGGAGAGGGAGTCCCAGAGTTCCCCAAAAGGCAAAGTTAAAAATAAAGGGACAGCTTTGATTACTTACAAAGATCTCCAGTGAGTCCCAGCATAAAACATAGAAGAAAACACACAAAGGTTGAATTCATGTATTTGTATCGTGTGCTACTTCTGGCGAGATCTGAGGGGCAGACACTTAACGCAAAGCTCACTGTGACCAGTTTCACATCCCCGGAGTCACACATCCAGAAAGTTAACTCCCACTTCATTTTAGTTCAAACATTTCAATGTTTTGACAAAAAAAAAAAAAATTGGCGTGTCAGATCCACTTTTGCACTGAAACTGGACAGCAAGGGGCAGCACTAGGCAGCTGCAGGGGGAGATGACCTGCTTGCTGAGACCAAAGTCTAATCCAAGTTCTACCTTAGAAACTCAACGTGAGCAAGTCACTTAAACTCTCTAGGCTTCAGATCTTTAATTTGCAAAATGAAGGTAATAATACCTGCCTTCTACCTACCTCACAGAGATGTTGCTGAGTGTAAAAGATAAGATATGTGAAGCATTTTGAGCTTTTTGGAAGAAAAGAGATATAGAAAAGTTAATTATACATACAAACAAAATCTATAAGAGGAGACCGTAAGACACAGGACAGGTAAAATGGTCGTGGCATCCTACAAGTATCAGCATGACAAGGGCTGGGGTGTAGTTCAATGATGCGCTATTTGCCTAACATGAGTGCAGCCCTGGGCCGAATCCCCAACACCATCAACAAATGAAAAGCAAAACAATAATACATACATGCTTTTAGTGAGGCACACAGCTCAGAGTAGAGAGACTGCCCTGAATGTGCACTGCCCTTGTTCAATCCCCAGTACTAATATCACCCCAGACCCCCAAATCATACCATAACCAATTATATTCAAAACACCTCCCTCATTCTGTGCTGTTTATCAGGTTTAGACTGAGTGTAAAAGGAAGGTGGGGGGGGGGAGGTGACCCTTATCTGTGGGAAATAAAGTCTTCAATATTAAATACTTCCTATACAAAGTCAGAGAGTAAAGTTTTGAGTATTTTCAAGGAGAGTGAGGGACTGATACAGGTTCCCACTTAAGGAATAATTCTCCAGGTTCTGTTCTTCCAGCATCCACAGAAAAGTGAACAGAGGGCGACACCTTCTGTTGGGGGGATGGGCCAAATGGATCTGCCTATTGAACCTGGCAGTGGTGGCTCTCATCTATAATCCCAGCACTCAGGGGACTAAAGTGGGAGAGTCACCCGTGTTTGAGGCCAGCAGGAGCTACATGGTGAGCTCCAGACCAGCTTGAGCTACAGGGAGACCTTGTCCCAGAAGACAAAAATAATTAAGCACTATAAGGAGGAAGTCCTTGGACGATAAAGACACACAATGAATATGTGCTCAAAGGCAGGTAGGTCCAAGGTAACCTGTCCAATCATCTACTAGAATCTCACTGAAAACTTCCCAAATGAAGTTTTGCTATTTTAGCTTTTAAATGATTATGAATTAATGTAATATCCCAAGATTGGTGGGGGAAATCACTTCTGCCTTTACAGTAGCAGACACTGTACACGATTCTGATCTAACCTCCTACTCATAATTACCCAGCTTTGGCTTCAGTGTGCTGGGGTCCTGGGAGAGCAAGCATTAGCTACAGTGATGCCCCTGTAATCCCAGCACCAAGGAAGCTGAGGAAGGAGAACTGTCATGAATTTGAGGCCACCCTGGGTTACTGAGTAAGGTCATCTTGAAATAAGTCAAATATCATGAGTGAGTTTGATGTGAGGTCCAAAATAAATAAAATTTAAAAAATGGATTTTGAGTATAACAAAGTTAAGAGTCCTGAATAATAATAGCATGAAAAAATATAACCGTTTCTCTAGAATTCAAGCACCTTCAAGTTTAAATAATAGCAGCCAAAATGATAATGTGATTTTTCATTTACACTGAGACTTTGGATTTTTAGGACAGGTGGCCTTTCAAAAGAATACTCATACAACAATATAAAACGATGATTGTTTTAGAATGAGGAGTTCCCAATAGGTAAGGGTCCTGATTGGCCAAAGTATAGAAGCCATCATGGCGCCCTAAGAGTGAGTGGTTCACGATCCAGGGTCTCTCCAGACACAAGTATGCACTTTGCCCCACAAAGCTTCACCCTCACTCCCTCATGCCATTCTGTCTTCGGGGCAGGAGTCCTCTTTTCCTTCTGCACAGTCCAAGAAACTGACTACAGTTTGGAGAACAGATTTCTATGGCCAACACTTTAGACTTGAGGCCCATGAACTGAGTGCTCTCACTCCTGAGTTTATTTCCTAATAAATACAGGTCAGTGAATCTTTCAGATACTTCTAGCACTTAAACACAGTTCAAGTACCAAGTCACAAAGAAGGAAGTGAATCAAATCAAGCAGCAGTTTGGTATGATGTTTTTCCTCCTTTGGGTGCTGGGTCGGGACCTATCTTTTCAAGCACATGACCCTCATCTGAGCTGTACCAGTCACAGGAGGAAATACCTCAAGACTATTCATACTGGCCTAGGGATGTAAGTCTTCTTTGATATAAATTATAGCAGCAATGGAAAATTAATACAAAAAAGTGAAACCATCTGTACAATTTTATGCTTGAATGCTTATTTTAAGTACTACATACACATTGCTCTCCTCCATATGCAGGAGCGAGGCTGGAAGATGTATTTTGTGATTTGACAAACAATTCATAGCCACTGAAGGCACAAGGTAAATTTGAATAAACAGGACACATAAACAGATGAGCAGGTTGTATCAGAGGTGAACTAGGTAAGATTTTCTACCTCAACATTTCATATGAAAAATTGTACACACACACACACATATCAGTTAATACCCTTAGAAAACAAAGTATTTAAAAACAGAAGAAAGGCCACAGTGATCCAAGCAGATCTGGCTTTAGAAACATTTTATCTCACAGAAGAAAAAAAATTGGTTTTAAGACAAAGTTTCATTATGTAGACCAGCCTCTATCTCACAGGGATCTGACAACCTCTGCCTCTTCAGGTGCTGGAATTAAAGGTATGCACCACCATGCGTAGAAGTAAAATATCTTCTTTAAAAAAATTTATGACTGTATGTGTGTGCATGGAGAGGAGGTTGGCATGCAAGCATACAAAGGTCAGAGAAGAGTCTGTTGAAGTCAAGTTCTTTCCCACCATGTGTGTCCTGGGAATCAAACTCAGGTTTTTAGGCTTGGCAACAAGCACCTTTTCCCCTGAGCAATCTCTTCAGCCCACAGTAAAAAGGTCTTTACAGGTCAAAAATGCAGAGAGTTGACCTAGGATTTATCATTCAGGAATAGCCTCCCAATTCAAAAAGGAAGTGACAAAATTATATAGGATGCTTGATATCTAGTTACTGCCAGTTTTCATAGTGATTTTAGCGTGTTTGAGCTGGCCTCTAGGAGAGAAGATTGGTTTTTCATAAACACTTTTTACAACATTTAAAGATTAAAGCACCACAAAAGCAAAACCCCAGACAGTCAATGGCAATAGTGTTGTCCCGGAATATCTCACAGACCAGTTCCGGCGGGCAACCTTTGGTACAGCTCCTTCACCTCCTCGTGTTTCGCTCTGCCTTTGTCCACACTCTGTCTGCGCATCTCAGCCATTTCACCACACCACTCCTCAAACTTGGAATTGTCCCGGTCCACCAGCTCTTGAAGAAAGGCTGTCCGAGAGAGACACAAAAACCAATCTCACCCTCTCTCCCAAAGACAAAGACTACACTGATGTGCACATTATCATCTAGGGATGAATGAATGGAACCCTCTACTGGTGAAACCGAAGGTGGAATGCAGTCAGGTGATCCCTACCCCGACTGCCCAGAAACATCAAATGGCTCTACACTACAGTGTGTGGAACAGGCCAGGGAGACCAGTTTCTTTAGCTCTACAAGTTGAACAAAATAAAACCGAACATCAATTTAAGCTACCTTCTAACACTGACAATTGTTTCTGCCTTTTTTGGGAGGTTGGGGTAATAGAACAGTCCTAAGGCTCAGTCGTTCCAAAAACTCAGTAGTTGTTGATTTGTGACCAGCACTCACTTTCATTGACATCTACCATACTGAAGAGACCTGCTACAATGTGAGCAGTCTGGTGATGGTCACTAATCCACCTGGAAGTACAGAATTCTACAGCATCTCCAGAAACAATTTAGAAAAAGTGATTACCTGGGACTTGAACCACTGTGTGATTCTTTTCCTGGGTTTGCAGTCTATAAACCAACATGTATGCATTTCGAGAACAATGAGTTCCTTTGCCACACTTGGGTTTACGGGTCTGGGATTTAGAAGGCTCTGCTGGGATAAAGAAATAAAAGACAACTTAACTAGATGGTCCATACCTTAGGGACTTGGGGGATACATAAAAAAATTACTTATATGCTCAGTGCACAAACATCCCCAAACGCACATTTAAAAAGCTGCGTGCAGTGGCACACACTTGCAATCTCAGTACTCAAGCAGTGGGGAGAGGCAAATCCCTGGGGATTGCTGGCCCTAAACAATAAACTCCAACCTATTAGAAACCCTGTCTCAAAAAACAAAGTGGATGGCACCCGGGGGACCCGAGATTGACCTGACTTCTGCATACACCCGAGTGCACGTGCACATGCATGCACACACACAATTTCTAGGAGTGGAGATCTGGCTCAGCAGGTAAGAGCACGGGCTATTCTTGCAGAGGAACAGAGCTTTCCGTTCCCAGCGCCAAGTGTTAGTTTATAACCAAACGTAACTCGGCTTCCAGTTCTGCCACTCTTCTGAAGATCACACACCTGTTCTGGCCGCCATGGGCAGAAAAGCCTGTGGTACACTTATAAACAGGAAAAATAAGCACACACTCAAAACAAAACAAACAAAAACTATCTCAAAAAATCCAAATGAAAAAGTTATTTAAGTATCAGAACAGAATACTGACAAGCAAAGAGATTCTCTTAAGCTCTTCTAAAACTGAGAACTGCCGTATGTATAAAATGGATGGTAGACCCTCACAAGACGTTAAAAAAGACTTATTTTTAAATTGTGTGTGCGCGCACACGTGCATGCAGACATGTGAACATAAGTATAGGTACCTGTGGAGGAAGCCCTAAGCATATGGAGCTGGAGTGCCTGTGAGCTGCCAGATGTGGGTGCGAAGAACCAAACTTTTACCCTCTGAGAGCACCAAGTACATCTAGAAAAAGTTTCTGTGTAGCACTAGCAGTCCTAGAATTTATTCTGTGGACCAGGTTGGCCTCGAACTCACAGAGATCCGCCTGCCTCTGCCTCCATAGCGCTTGGATTAAAGGTGTGTGCCACCACAACCCAGCATGCACCAAATCCTCAGCTAAGCAACTGCTCCAGCTCCCTAAGACTTTAACTCTTACAACTCCATAACTCCATTGCCATAATGTAGACAGCTACAATAAACTTCAGTAAGAAACACACAAAATGAAAACATAATTACTTACAATCTAAGGCTTACCTTATGAAAAGTACAATAAAATAAATTTGATCTTAACAGTGTTACCATAAAAAACCACTACATTGAAAATTAGGAACTTTAAAAAAAAAAAAAGCCGGGCGATGGTGGCGCATGCCTTTAATCCCAGCACTCGAGAGGCAGAGGCAGGCGGATCTCTGTGAGTTCGAGACCAGCCTGGTCTACAGAGCTAGTTCCAGGACAGGCTCCAAAAAAGCCACAGAGAAACCCTGTCTTGAAAAACAAAAAACAAAAAAAGCCCACCACAGACCTGTTTAGAATGCTTATTCCCCAGCTAGTGGCAGGACCTAGAACAGGTGTGAAGTTTAGGATGGGGCAGACTGGCAGATATAGTGTGGTAGGGCTGGTCCTTACTCCTAGTGCTCTCTACTGCAAAGTTCATCTTGGATATCCACATACTTCAGCCGTCAAGAGCTGAGCTGCTTACTCAAGACCTTCCCCGCCATGAAGGCCCACAATGCCCTAAAATCATGAGCTTCACTTTTCAAAGCTTTTCAGCCTTCAGCTTTCTATGTCAGACATGCAACACTAACAAGAAAAGCAACAGTCAGCCAGGTGGTGGCGCACGCCTTTAATCCCAGAACTCGGGAGGCAGAGGTAGGTGGATCTCTGTGAGGCCAGCCTGGTCTACAAAAGCTAGTTCCAGGACAGGCTCCAAAGCTACAGAGAAACCCTGTCTCGAACCACCCCCCCCCCCAAAAAAAAAGAAAAAAAAAGTAACAGTCTATAAATGGAATGAGACTTAGAGACACTAAGCCAGCAAGGCAGGCCTAGGAGCCAAGAAGCCTTGGCAACTCGGCTGTGAGCCAGGTGTGCTGGTGCACAGGTGTAATCCCAGCTGTACCATGGCAGAGGAACCAAGAGGCACATCCAACCTGGGACTCTCTCAAAATAACTAAAATCTTCAGTATATCAAACAATAATAATACCAAAATAATTTTAAAAAAAAATTTCAGATCCCAGGTGGCGAAGTGAAAAAGATCACTGGCTCCCATAAGATCTGACAACTCACTGGGAAACAAAGCTACAGCTGATGATAACAGCTGAGCTGATGAGAGGGGTCATGAGACCATGCTCAGAACACAGGTTTTCTGCCACAGTTACTAACGTCTCAACTCAGAAAGAAGATGGCATACTTCTTCTGGGAACCTATAACCATCCTTCCCCTGCCCAGGGAATAAACTATAACTGAAACTGACCCCTTCATCTTCATGCTTTCCTGGTCATCTCTGGGGCAAAATGTTTGGTTTATCTTGAAGCACGAACTGCTAATAAGAGATGCCTAGTGGTGTTAAATATCCTTAATAACCATTAACAATCTTGATGACAGCATCAAACATTGCCAGTAAAAAAAAAAAATATTTTAAGACAGGCATGGTGGTGCACACCTTTAATACAGAACTAAGGGGGCAGAGGCAGGCAGATCTCTGAGTTCAAGGCCAGCCTGGTCTGCTTATTAAGTTCCAGGATAGCCAGAGCTACATTGTGACCCTGTCTCAAAACAACAACCACAACAAAATTTATATTTTAAAAGGGCACTCACAACTTAAAGGTTTTACCTAGATCTTCCTCAATCCCTAGTTGTAATTTCTTCCCCTCCATCTTCTCTATGTCTTCATCATTGAACTTGTACCATTCTCCAGACTGAGGATCTTTCACATGGGCGATGTAGTGGCCAGAATAAGCACTCACTCCTCTGTGGATGAGGACGGCACTGAGTTCATACACAAAGGACCCACCTACAAGGAGAAAAGGGCATAAGAATACTTTCCATGACAACATACCTTACAGCTTTAGCCTAAACTGATAACAATGTTATCAGTTCTTTATCCATCTGACCAAATACAAAATGTGACACCGAAGAGCCGGGCATAGTGGTTGTACCCCTACGACCCAGCATCCCAGAGACTGAGGTAACAGGATCAACAAGTTCAAGGCTACTGTGGGTTATGTGCAGCTAAACTACTCAAATGGGCGGAGATAAAATAAGGTGACTTTTCTTCCTTTTTACAGTATTGGCAACTAAAACAAGGAAGGCTGAAGCAGGAAGATTACCACAAGTTGGACGACAGCGTCAGCTATATATTACATACAAACATATATGTATGTATATATTCCAGAGAAGGCTGGAATATACGTGAGCCACGTCTCAAAACAACCAAAACTTAAAATGGGGGGGAAAAAAAAAGAATAAAACTTTTTTTTTTTTTTTTGGTCTGGCCTGGAACTCAGCTATGTAGATCAGGCTGGACTCAAACTCAGAGATTCATTTACCTGCCTCTGCCTCCGGAGTTCTGGGATAAAAGGTGTGTACCTCTATGCCCAGCTCAATAAAACCTTCCAAAGTTTGGAAAAAGTAGCTGGGTGTAGTGGTATATGTCTTTAATCCCAACACTGGGGAGGCAGAGGGATCTCTGTAAATTTCAAACTAGCCTGATCTACTGAGACCCTGTTCAAAAGGAAGAAAAAGAAAAGAAAAACCAGGTTAGTCATGCAAACGGTATACAAACATACATAAAGACAAATCACTCCAACACATACAATTAAAACAAAATGTAAAACAAAAAAACAATCAAAACAAACCTAAAAGGCAGCCAGTGGTTCCAGCACCCACAGACAGGCTCACAGTCATCCATAACTGGATCTAATGCCCTCTTCTGACCTTTGTAGACACAAGGGATCTACACACACACACATACAGGCAAAGCATTCAAGCACATTAAGAAAAAAGAAGGTGGTGCACACCTTTTATCCCAGAACATGGGAGGCAGAGGCAGGTGGATCTCTGTGAGTTCGAGACCAGCTTGGTCTACAAGAGCTAGTTCCAGGACAGACTCCAAAGCTGCAGAGAAACCCACTTAAAAAAAAAAAAAAAAAAAAAAAAAAAAACAGAAAAGAAACAGAAAGAAAAAGAACAAAACTAAAATAAAAATAAATTCTTTTTAAAAAGCTACTTACAATAACTAAGCATAATTCATCAGCACAATATATGGGACCATTCCTATGTCTATAGATACTTAAACTGTTAGGATCTGGAAACTTTCAGAAACAATACAGTAAAAAAAAAAATCAAAAAAGAAAGAAAAACCACATCCAACTTTATTTTGTTGCTGTAACTCTTAAAACAGTTCATCACTCAATCAATAAAAATGCTGGACCCTGTTTTAGACTAGAAAAAAATATTAGTTGACTAAAGGAACAAAAATCCCAGGATACTTGTAACTTAGTGAGTAGGACATTAATAAAGATTGGTATGTGGGTCAAAACTCTGGGCTAGGATAAAAATACTAGTGAGAAGGGACACAAATATTTCTGAACTGGGCCAGGGAGAATCCCAGGGCTCCTGAGGTAGAATGGAAAGCCAGGAGACAGACCTGGTTGGAAGCTTTGGGACCAGCTAGCCTTGGAGTACACAATATACATAGCAGCAGAAACAAGACAGACCCCACTGAACAAGGTGGAAGACAAGAACTGACCCCCAAAGTTGTCGCCTGACACCTCCAGACATACACTATGACAAACACACCCTGGCATGTATAAATGCATGTATACACAAAATAAATATTTTTTAAAGCAAAGTATAGGTGGTTTGCCTGTCATCCCAGTGCTGTATAGATAAGAGACAATTGGATTCCTGAAGCTCATATACCCTAAGTGACAAGTCCACGTTCAGTGAGAGCATGCTAGGAGAATGAATGAATGAATGAATGCAATGGAAAAAGGAAAGGAAGGAAGGAAGGAAGGAAGGAAAGAAGGAAGGAACAAAGGAAGGACGGAGGAAGTAAATAGCTCTTGAAGTAGACTCCTCACATCCACATGCATGCATACAAGTTTACCCACTGTAACAGATATGAAGCCATACATACAGAGATACACATACAACTAAATAAGGTGACTCCAGAGCCAGACTTCCTACAATATGTTTATAATTACTCAGACAGTCAGGGTTAAACAGCAAGACTTTGTCTCAAAGGGGCTGAAGAGATAGATGCTCAAGGAGTAAGAGCAAGTAAGAGCATTTGTTGCTCTTGCACAGTCCCGCCGGGTCCAATGGAACTGACGCCCCCTTCTGGCCTCTGAACAGCAGGCACATGAGTGTGCACATACACTCATTTAAGAACTCACACTTATGGAGAGTAAAAATAAACTTCAAAAGGAAAGCTGCCTCGCCTTGCAGAGCAGAAGAAAAAAAGACAAAGAAACTTCGTGGCCACAGATGGACTGTAAGTTCCTATGTCTGGGTGGTCCTCAAGCCTTACTCTCTGATGACAGCTAACTAGGCAAGTGTTCCAGAAATAGGCCAAGGGTCTTTATGGAGGAAGCTGAATCTGTCCCATTCTAGGAAAATCTCTTTATAGATCATTTCTGATGAAGAAAGCCAGTATGTCCAGTCATGCCTCTCAGTAACAAGCTTGTGACCCTCGAGAAACAAGGACCTTGAAAATGCCAATGAAGAGTGGAGAACAGCACAAGGGCTGTAGGACAGGGCTGATGGCATTGTGTGTAGGAAAGCAGGTGTGACTAGCCAGGAAGGAATCAACTGGAGTAGGGAGCAGGACATAGGGAGGGGCAGTGGGAAGCGCAATGTCAGAGAATTAAATAAATGACAAATCTAAATGCCCCATTAATTTACATCCTAACCAAAATAGTTCTTTTAAAAAGAGAGGGGCTGTGTGAGAATAAGTCTAATTAGAGAAATAAATCAGTAATCATATCAAGCATAAACAGATAAGTCAATCCAGATAAAGTCCATGATGTCCAATTAGACTGAACCCTACTTTGAGGACACCTGGGATGGTGTTTTCTCCAGCCACCCTCCCCACCCAGAGCAGCAGCACAGTCGCGCAATTATGTGTTACCATTTATCTGGCACTCTCCCAGGAGGCAAAAAGAATAAACCAAAAATGTAAAAATGCTTGGGGGAGGGGGTGTGTGAAGCACACAACTTTAATCCCAGCACTCAGAATGCAGAGGCAGGTCTACATGGTGAGTCCCAGGACAGCCAGGACTGTTACACAGAGAAACTCTGTCTCACAAAAAACGGGAAAGGGAAGGGAAGGGAGGGAAGGGGAAAAAAGATGAGAGGAAAGCACCCAGCGGGCTTTAGGTTGCTGCAATGCTTTTCCTCTTTCAGGTGGTTCATGCAGATATTCACTTTCACGGTCTTTAGAGAAACACATCTTTATTTTGAAATTTTATCAGTGTTTTATATGTTTTATCAATGTGTTATATTTTTAATATGTTAAATATATTATGTATAAAATAAACATACAAATTATATATTATATATAATAAACATAATTTATATATATAATAAAAAGACTGAGCAGGATCCGATGGGACAGGTAAAATTGAAGTGCGCTTACTCTTACAAATGAAAAATAAAACCTTGTCAAAAAAACTGCTGTCTACAGAGCCTGAAAACAGGGACCTGAGGAATGCTGCAGTGTGCAGCATGGAGAGCAAGCCCCAGGTTCATCTCAAGCCAACAATAATCACAGCTTGATCAAAAACAGTACCTTTGTGCTCCACATAAGGTTCCATATCGAGACTCTCCGAGAAGCCGATATAGGCATTGAGCTTCTTCTTGTGTCCAGTTTGCCTACCATGAAAAGGACAGACAATATTGACAGTCACCCATCAGCACAGTGTGTACATGCTGCCAGCTCCCTGACAAGCCCTACAGCAGCTACGCTCTATCTGGTGGTCTAGCACACATGAGCAGAGACTGATCCTTCTGCAAACAGAGCTCACTCCAAAGCAGAGACTGGATTCCCATGTGCAGAGCCACAAATGAAAGAGTCCCAAGGAGAGAAAAATTTTGTTTGGAATATATGATCATACAGAGTATCAAGGTAATTCGGTCAGGTACTTACAGTTTTGTTTTTTCAAGACAGGATTTCTCTGTAGCTTTGGAGCCTCTCCTGGAACTAGCTCTTGTAGACCATGTTGGCCTCAAACTCACAAAGACCCACCTGCCTCTGCCTCCCAAGTGCTGGGATTAAAGGTGTGCTCCACTACCGCCTGGCTTGTTTTGTTTTTTTTTTTTTGAGTAAGGGTTTCTGTGTAGCCTTGGAACCTGTCCTGGTACTCTGGCCTCAAACTCACAGAGATCACTTGCCTCTGCCTCCCGAGTGCTGGGGTTAAAGGTGTGCACCATCAAGATTTTAATTAAAAAGCTAAAAAATTAATTAATAGTATTTACAACCACAGGTCCTCTTTACTTCTCCAGCTCTCATCTATACACAACTGTCTTCTTTAAGACTGGGGGGGCAGGGTTTGAGAGGATTTCTCTGTATAGCCCTGGGGGTCCTGAAACTCAAGAGATTCACCTGCCTCTGTGCCCCAAGTGCTGGGACTAAAGGCGTGCACCACCACTGTCGCCTGGCTTCTCTTTAAGATTCTTATTGCACTATCATGAAAAATATATGTAAGAATCAAAGGCTTCATGTGAGTCATCGTACCATTGACTTGTTACTCGTGTAACACTCACCTGTCAAACACAAAACGCATCAGCTGCAGGTTCAGAGTGCAAGGAAGGCTCAGGAGTCGAATTTTCCTTGTAGCATTCTGTTTGCTTTGGCAGTTTTCACAGAAGTATCGGTTGTCTCCTTCTAATTTTTCTTCCTGATCAGGAATAAGACACACCAGTTAGGAGGGATGTGAAGAAAGCAATGGAAGCTCTGGAGTAAAGCACAATTATGTTAGTTAGCAGCTCCCATCCGACTGAAGACACCACACTCCTCCTCCGTCTGTGGTATCCTCCCTAATCAAAATCACTTCATACCTCAGGCTCCTAAGTTTAGGAAACTGGCCACAGTCCCTTTCCTCTCCTTACATGCTTTATAAAATTCTCATTTCTCCCCTTCAAATAAAACATGAATACAACCTTTGTGCATGTGTGTGCTGTGGATTAAGCCCAAGGCACTCGACACGCTGAGCAAGCTCTCTGCCACAGAGCTATCAGCCAGGTCTCATGCAACACAGAATAGTCTTTACTTGAAATGGCTGAAGCTTTGAACTCCTGCTTTGCCCTTCTATCCAGCATTCAACTCTATCCTCACCTCACAAATAATTCCTCTCCCTCCCAACTGTGCCCCTCTCAATCTTCTCCCATCTTAGAAATGACAATATTCTTCCAACTAATCAGGCCACAAACCTTAAAATCCCTTGACTTTCACCTTCGTACTCAGTGCATAAGTTTGACTGGTTCTACTTTGAAGATAGAAAAGCCAGCTAGTCAGTTAACCATGGGTTAACTGAAGACATGAGCATTACTCACCACGTCTTCAGTTAAGCCATCCGTCCTGGCAGCCCTGCATCCTGTTCTGCCCAGGCCCTGCCCTTCAGCCTCTTCTCTAGACAGCACTCACAGTCATCCCGGTAAACCCTGTGTCTCTCCCAGGATCAGAACTATGATGGCCCTGAAGTCTCACTTGATGTATAAAAGTCACACTTCAAACCAGGCCTCTCTGCAACTATTCGTTTTTTGTCCCTCTTCCTTTGCGCAAGCACTATGCCACACATAACCTTCTTGGCCTCAAATCACAGGTCAAGTCACCACAGCTCTGCCCTCAGTGTTTCAAATGCCCATAAGCACCCTTCTCCTGCCTTCCGGTATCACTCACTCCTGCTGCTGTAACGGTTTCATTTCAAACTGCAGCCAGCCACACCTACATGAAGGAGAACCTTCATAGCACACGCAGAGGTAGACCACTACACATTCTACTCTTCTTTATTTAGAGTCCCTGGTAGTCATGCTACTGTACTACAAACTCCATTGAGGCTGATTTTGCTTCATTTGGCCAATAGCGTCAGTCCAACATCACCATGATGCTTACAAAGTAAACACTCAGGAAGTCTTTAGATGGATAAAGTCAACGCATGATTAATGGTTTCAGCTACTACTGTGTACAAGACAGAGAACGTACACATGACACTGTTTAAAGACAGGAAGCTGTGTACTCCAAGCTCATTTATAACACTGCCCACTTGGTAAAGATTGATAATGAAGCCTTCTTCACACGGAAGGAAAAGGAGTCACCTCTATCTCTGCAGAACTCCAAACACACAGAAAGCAGAAACGTGGAGGGAGAGGCTATGTTCCCACTTAATGGGAATATATCTATCTATTACATAACAAGATAGTTAGCTTTATGGTAACAAAGATCAGATTTCCTTAAATACTGTGCTATCTATAACCACACATAATTTCACATACAAATGAGCATGAAAATCCTAAAAGCAGCTAAGATGCAGGTTGCGTTGGTACATTTTAGTTCCTTTTGGACCGTTATAAAAGTAGGTATTTCTTGGGCTGGAGAGATGGCTCAGAGGTTAAGAGCATTCCCTGCTCTTCCAAAGGTCCTGAGTTCAATTCCCAGCAACCACATGGTGACTCACAACCATCTGTAATGAGATCTGGTGCCCTCTTCTGGCATGCAGGCAGGCATGGAAGGAATGTTGTATACATAATAAATAAATAAATATCAAAAAAAAAAAGGAGGTATTTCTTATATGGAAAAGTCTCCAATAATGGATGTACCCATGAATCAAAATGCCATCCAAAACAGCATGGAACCACCAGTGACCAGAAGCCACGTATGCTGAGATGCAAGTACCTTCAGGAATTCGGAGATGCAATCTGTTAACTGCTTGTGGCCTTGGATGTTTAACTCCAGTTCATAGAACTTCGATAGAAGCTTAGACTCTCGGCCACACTGATTGCAACTGAAATGTAAAAGCAATAGAATTAAGATCTGATTGACAAGGTCAACCCAGTGTCATTACAACACATGCTAGACAGGGGAATGTTTAAAACCTTCATTATTTTGTTACAGAAACTGTAGCATATGAATTACAGGGAGAACAAAGATAAAGGCTGACTAGAGAATCCCAAGAGCTATTGAACATGATTTAGTTTTCTAGCCAGTTCTAACCTTACATTTCAGCCCACACTACATGGCCGTCACACAAAGACTTCAGCCATACAGTTCCCAACACCTGTTGACATTCAACTGCAATTGGCAAAGTAGCTGCTTTCATGTTCCCATGGAAATGTACTGCTATAAATACTTCAGGTCCCATGATAACCCATCACTGTGACAACAGGGGACTGAACTGAAAGGTAATGCCATGAGAGCTGCAATACTCACACAGTCACATAGGCATACTCCCCACAGAACTGCTGTTGCACAATGTTCCGCACATCTGGGTTCTTCTGTTTAGACAAAGTGTCTTCCAACAACGACATAAAGAGCTTAGAAAACTCTTGGGCATCCTGCAGTTTGAATTAATGAAAAAAGTTGTATCTTGCTTCATGACTTCTCATACAAATGCTACTCAGAAACTATCTGTATTTCCACCTTAGCATTTTACAAAAAAGACTATAGCTATACTGAATCAGTCCCACAAATCAGTTTTGAGAAACAGCTGACAGTTGGAGAAATGGCTTAGCAGTTAAAAGCACTGGCTGCTGTCAGAGGACCCAGGTTCTGTGCCCAGCACAACTATCTCAGTCCCAGAAGGTTTGATGCCTTCTTAGCCCCATCAGGCACAAGGCATACACAGATGTGGACAGATATACATATGTACAGGCAAACACCCAGGCATAAATTAAAAACAAAACACAATTTTTAAACAAGGAAGGGGGTTGGGTGGTGGTGGGGCACACCTTTAATCGCAGCAGAGGGATTAAAAGGCAGAGAGAGGTGGATCTCTTTGAGTTCTAGGCTAGCCTGGTCTACAAAGTACATTCCAATACAGCTAGAACTATACACTGAAACTCTTTTGGGGGGAGAGGGGCAGAAGGGAAGAATATAGTCAGGCTGGAGAGATGGCTCAGCAGTTAAGAGAATTGGCTGCTCTTCCAAAGGTCCTGAGTTCAATTCCCAGAAACCACATGGTGGCTCACAACCATCTGTGATGAGAGCTGGCGTCCGTCGTCCTCATCAGCTTAGACCATGAACCCAATAAGGATAAATTCAACAGAACCGTCATAAATGGGCTACCCATGCAAGCCCCATGCAAACAATAAAATGACAAGCATAATAAGGAACACATCACATCAGTCAGTAAACAAGAGCAGTAAAATCCAAAGTAGACCCGGGTGGTGGTGATGGCTCATGCCTTTAATCCCAGCATTTGAGAGGCAGAGGGGGCAGGCGGGAGGCAGAGGGGGCAGGCAGAGCTCTATGAGTTCGAGGCCAGACTGGTCTACACAGTGAGTTCTAGGATAGGCTCCAAAGTTACAGAAACCCTATCTCAAACAAACAAAACAGTTCAAGGTAGAATTTTCTTTTAGATACGTTATCACTATATAGGCCTGGTTGGCCTGGAACTAAAGAGATCTGTCTGCAACTGCCTCCACCTCCCAAGTGCTGGGATTAAAGGTCTCGACCACCACACCCAATCAAAAAGTGCATTTTAAGAAGCACCCTACTCATCTTCCCTGGGAACACTAAGAAATGGGTGAGTATTTTGAAGATGAGGAGGGAAGGGTAGGAGGGGATAGGAGAGAGTACTGGAGCTAGCTGCTCTTACCTGCTGCTGTCCAGTATCCAAGCCCAAGGCTTTAACAAATCCTGAAGGATCAATGTATCGCCTGTTACTATTTTGAAGCAAAGCAAATAAGTACTGTAGATGCTCGCAAATTGTCTGAGGCTCATAATCTATTAAAAGAAAAATCCAAGTTTCACTTTAAAAAAACAAAAACAAAACTACCTAAACCCAGCCAGACATGGTGGTACACATGTCCAGAAACTCTGCACTAGTGAGACAGAGCAAGAGGATCAGGAGTTCCAAGGCATCTTGGTCAGCCTACTAGAACGCAGATGTTACGTTTTTCAACTTAAAACAAGCAAACTAAAAGAGCAGATGTGGTGTCACCCACCTTTAATTCCGGTACTCCAGAAGCAAATGCCCCTCTGTAAGTCTGAGGCCAGCCTGTTCTACACTGCGAGCTCCAGGGCAGCCAGGGCTAAGCAGACAGACAGATCCTGTCTCAACCCCCAACACACACACACACACACACACACACACACACACACACACACACACACAACGTAGGGCAGGTTGAGATGGAACTGGAGAGATGCTCAGGAGTTAAGAGCACTGGCTGTTCATCTAGAGAACCTGGGTTCAATTCCCAGCATCCACATGAAGGCTAACAACCACCTATAAGTACAGTTCCAGGGAGTTCAATGTCCTCTACGTGGTACACAAACAAACATGTAAACAAAATACTCATACACAAAAAATAAAAGATTAAGAAATTTATTTTTATTTTATGTATATGAGTGTTTTGGCTCATGTATCGCCAGTTGCTCAAGAAAGCCAGAAGTGGGCACTGGACCCCTGGGAACTGGAGTTATAAATGGTTTGTTTATAGCCAATGTCTTCTGTATAGCCAGTCTCTCTCCTCTCCCCCTCCTTCCCCCCTCCCCTCTGTTTTTCAAACAGGGTGTGTAACCAGCCCAAGCTGTCCTGGAACACTCTGTAGAACAGGCTAGCCTGGAACTCAGAGAGCTGCGTGCCTCTGTCTCCCAAATGCTGGGATTAAAGGTGTGCACCACCACCACCTTCAAATCTCTTTCATAAAAAATTAAAATAATTTTTTCAATGATTCACTTATTAGTTGATTATGTATATATTTTGAATCCCGAGTATGTTTATAGCACCACACTTGGCATGAAACCAGAATTCATGTTTCCTCCTTTGTAGTGGATTCATAAGAAATTTGGCTGGCAATACCCTCAGCAGGGAGCCCCTGCTCCCATCACTACAGACCTTTTTCTCCATGGACACCATCTCCCCTTGTGTAGTCACTACGGGTGCTTGGGCATAAGTACAGTGCCTGTCGAAGCTCCAAGTTGAGAAACCACACCTGGAGAAAGGTGTTGACATAACAGGTGGCTCCCAGGTTAGTCAGCCCCACAAACGAATTCTACAGAAACACAAGAGTCATATAGCAACATTAGCCTCCACGAAACTAAAGATTTGTAAAGAGCATTATTCATAACTTTACACCCAATCAGCTCAGCATGATCACCTGGACCCCTCTTAGCTGCAGGTGGAGCAGAGCTTTCATGGAGGCCTTTTATACTTGCCACCATTGCAGCTGACCACAGAAGAGGCTTCAGACAGCAAAAGTGCTCATCTCTACACTACTGTCATCTCAGGCTCTTAACCCTAAAAACAGAACAGGTGCGCTGAAACATGTGTGCACAGGCTTTTCATCACACTTCTAAATGCACTTAATAGAAAGACAAAATGAGACTTCTAGAAGAGCTGGGAGACAGAGAAAAGGACCCCCTTCTATTTCAGAGATCTTGAACTTAAAACAAATATCCCTTTTAATTGGGAAAATATCAATACAACAGAGCTCACTGATGCATGCTGGGCTTATTAGAAATACTAACACATTTTTAAAGCATTTATAAATAAAGTGTGTGTGTGTGCGTGTGTATACACACGTACAAATATTACACAAGACAGATGCCATGAAAAGCAAAGAAAAACCATCATGGCAACTTGTATTAGCACCTCTCCTTAAAGACAGAGTGCAAACCAAGACCGCCGTCTATACTGTGTGATTGTCTGTCTTTGTTTTGTTTTTTTAAGACAGGTTTCTCTGTGTAGCCCTGGCTGTCCTGGAACTCACTCTGTAGACCAGGCTGGCATTGAACTCAGAGATCTGTCTGCTCTGCCTCCAAGTGTTAGAATTAAAGGCGTGCCCCACCACCGCTTAGCATGATTACCTGTTGTTAAAGCATGTTGGGAGCTAGAATGTAGCTCAGTATAGAGAACCCTGGGTTTGATCCCCAGTACAAATTAAATAAATAAATGAATAAATAGTTTTGTGCAATTAAATGTGGCTACTATGGTTTACCTAGACTTTCCAAAATCAAAAACAAAGAATTCCACCAATGCACAGGGCCATGAAGTCTCCAGTTCTGACACCTACACAGGTTCCAAAATGGTTAACCGTTTGTGCGTTTGTGGTGATTTCTTTCTGCTTCTTTTTTAGAACAGAAAGGGAGTTCTGGGGATGGCCGCAGGGCCTCCCTCCACTGCTGTGGTACATGTCCACATCACAGGTCTTTGAACACAGGAAGTGAAAAACAGGCATGGCCGACCACCCACAGCCACTCACTCACCTTTTTCCTCCTCTCACAGTTGGGATCATCAATGTTATGAAAACTATTCTCATCTATTTCTCCTAACCAAATGTGCTCGCCAATCCCAACTAAGCAATTCGGATTGCCTCTGCAATTTCTTCTACAAGAAAAGAAAAAAAAAAAGAATTAAAAGATTCCCAGGAAGTGAAAAGAGAAGATTGAGTTTTCATTCTTTCATTTAATTACTTATTAGTTTATATATCTTTCCCTCACCCCTTACCCCAACATAACACATAACAGGGTTTTATGTGTGGCCCTGGCTGTCCTGGACCTCGTTCTGTAGACTAGGCTTGCCTCTACCATTACCACTTAAGATAGGATTAGGCTTTTTGTTGTTTTTGTTTTTTGAGACAGGATTTTCTTTGCGTAACCCTGGCTGTCCTGAAATTCTGTATAGTTCTTTTGTTACTAGGATGGGGTTAACAGCTTCTCAGCACAGGTAGAGAAAGGAACTCAGCAACCAACAAAAGCAGAACACATTTCAAGTTGGACAAATCCAAATTTGGGGGCTGGGGTAAAGCTAAACCACTTGAACACAATCATTAATCAGAACACTCATTAAGCAGTACCCCCAAGATAAAGGATTTGCTAATGAGCTTGGTCCTTGTTCCTTTAACAAATCCTGACGTCTAAATATTCTCCATTAAAAATTCTAAGGCGAGCCGGGCGGTGATGGCGCATGCCTTTAATCCCAGCACTCGGGAGGCAGAGGCAGGCGGATCTCTGGGAGTTCGAGGCCAGCCTGGTCTACAAGAGCTAGTTACGGGACAGGCACCAAAGCTACAGAGAAACCCTGTCTCGAAAAACAAAACAAAACAAAACAAAAAAAAAAACAAACAACCTCTAAGGCTCCTGAGGGAAATAAATTATAAGATGAGCACACACTGTCTTGCTGTGCCCCTAAAAAAATGATGGCACAGCTGAGCAGTGGTGGTGCACAGCTTTAATCCCAGCACTTGGGAGGCAGAGGCATGCAGACCTCTGTGAGTTCGAGCCCAGTTTGGTCTACAGAGCAAGTTCCAGGACAATACTCCAAAGCTACACAGAGAAACTCAGTCTTGAAAAACAAAAATGAACACAAATTGGCAGCGGCAGAGAACCCACTGGTCAAATCCAGCACAGAAAATAGGTAAGTCACTACAACAGGGCCTAGGAGGTTGAGGCCAGAAGACTGCAGTGTAGTGGTATTACGTTTATATTTTTATAAATAAAGTCTGCCTAGTGATCAGAGAGTAAAGCAGGCCACTAGTTAGTCTTACAGACCAGGAAGAAGTAACACACAACTTTAATCCCAGTAGCCACACTAGTTGCCATAGAAACCGAGCGATGCATGCCTTTAATCCCAGTGGTACACATCTTTACTCCCAGCACTAGAGAGGATTATAAAACAGGAGGAGACAGCTCTCAGGCTCAGTCTCATTCTGAGATTTCTGGAGGAAGGATCACCATTTCAGACTGAGATCGAGGTAAGGGCCAGTGACTGGTTGTTTTACCTTTCTGACCTTCAAGTTGAACCCCAGTATCTGTCCCCGAGTTTTTATTTATTGTACATCACTGCAGTAATTGGAGGTTAGCCTGGGCTACACAGAAGACACTATTTCAAAAAAGAAAAGGAAGCCACAGTAACTCCCAAGTGTAATTCCAGCACTCAGGAGCAAAAGTCAAAGGAGACTGGAGGCCAGCTTGGCTACACACTAAGCTTCCAGAGCTAAACACTGAGATCCTGTCTTCATGAGATAGAGGGACAGATGGAGAAAAGCTGCTTCTACACAGAAAGAAAAAAAAAGTCAATTATGGAGCAGCTGTGACAGAATCAGAACTCACCAGGTGACATCCTTTAAAATAAAGTCACAAGGAAAGCTAACGAAGAAACAAGACTGCAATGTCTTCAAGTAGCTCAGCACAAGCACATTAACTCCGAGAAACCCAGTGACTCTACTCCAAGCAAAGAACAAACAGATCCACCCGACAGTCCCTTGCCCACCTGGGCACTAGGAGGCAATATCACTTCTGCGTGTTCTGGTCAAAAGCATGCAACTTTTGCCATGAGCATATACCCCACAATCCCAATCTCAGAAACAAAAAAGGAAATGTCATGCACATAAAGAAACAATTTCAGATTAAGAGAAACTAGAAACACGGCTGAATGTAACAGGCTCGTGGGTCCTCCTCTCCCTTTAGAATATATCACCGGGACGTATGCGCAGATCTTTGAGCTTTGTCGCCAAGGCTGTGCTGACAGCAGAAGACTAGAACATACCTCCAGAAATGGTGTAGGGGATTATGCTACTTGCTGCCACGTCTGAAAACTTGCCATGTAGCCTTGGCTCGCTGGCCTGAAACTTGTGGTAATCCACCTGCCTCTGCCTCCTGAATGCTGGGATTACATGTATACCACCTGGCTCCCATTTTTTTTTTAATTACATTTATTCATTTGCAGCGAGGGCACACACCACACATGCATGTGGAGGTCAGAGAACAACTTCCCTTCCACCACATGGATCCCAGAAATGGAACTAAGGCTTAGCAGCAAGTGGCTTTACCTTTCGAGCCACCTTCATGGCTCTGTTCTCTTATACTCTCTGCAGTGAGACACACAATCTACACATGAAAGAAGTAACTTTCAAGGTGTTACAAATATACTGTCTTTCAAGGATAAGCCCCCTGACAGCTATCTAATCTTAAGTAGTAAATGAACTCAGCAGGTTGTGTGTATGGCGTGTGTGTATAAAACAATAATTAAAGAAAGAGAGGTCAAGAAGTTGAGAGGAGCCAGGCCAGGTGGTGGTAGCGCATGGCTTTAATCCCAGCACTCAGGAGGCAGAGGCAGGAGGATCTCTGTGAGTTTCGAGGCCAGCCTGGTCTACAGAGCTGGTCCCAGAACAGCTAGGACTGTAAAACCTTGTCTCGAGGAAAAGGAAAAAAAAAAAAGAAGAGGAGTGGGGGAGCAAAAAAGGTGCAAGGGGGAAACATGGGACAGAAATTATGTAAGCAGTGATCACATAAATGAAGGGGGGAAGGAGGGAGGGTGGGCAGGCAGACAGGATGGTAGTGCACACCTTTAATCCAGTACTCAGAAAGGCAAGTTCAAGACCAACCAGAATGACGCAAATGTCTCAGAATGAACATCACATGGGCTAGAGGGATGGCTAAGTGGTTAAGAGTCCATGTTGTTCTTTCAGGGGACCCAGGTTCAATTCCCAGCATCCACAGCAGTTCACAACTGCCTGTAACTCCAAGATCTGGCACCCTCACACAAACATAAACATAGGCAAAAAACACCAATGCACATTATAAACAAATAAAGTAAGTAGATGAAACTTTAAAAACTAAAAAATAAATGAACATCATGTGATTTGGTTGGGCAGACAGTTCTTTCAGAAAGCAGTTGCTGAGGATGGCTTGGTACTTAAGTCTCCTGTTCCTGATGTAGGTTTCCCCATCCTTTTCCATCCTCCACACATCGCCCACTTAACTGGCTCTATGGCTGGCTTCAAAGAATGGCTGTCTGTGACCTAAAAATTTCAGTAAAACTTACAAAAGTTAAGCAAGAGGTTTTGGTAATTTGTATTGTTTTTCCTTTGTAGTTCTGCCCTCCTCCCCCATCCTTAGAGACAATGTCTCACTGAGTAACCCTGGCTTGGCCTCAACTTCAGAGATTGTCCTGCCTCTGCCTCTGAGTTTTTGAATTAATGGCACATACACCATCTCTGTAAATTAATTTTATTTTGTTGCCTTTGAGACAGAATCCCATGTAGCCCAGGCCGGCCTCAGCACTCCTTAAACTGAGGTCCACCTAGACTCCTGATCCTCCTGCTGGGATTACAGGAGTGTGTTAGTCATGCTTAGCTTCACATTCTTTCCTTTCTTTCTTTTCTCTCTCTCTCTCCCTTTCTCTCTCTTTCTTTCTTTATTGGTTTTCTGAGACAGGGTTCCTCTGTAGTTTTGGAGCCTGTCCTGGAACTCGCTCTTTAAACCAGGCTGGCCTCGAACTCAGAATTCACCAGCCTCTGCCTCCCCGAGTGCTGGGATGAAAGGCGTGCTTTAAAAAAAAAAAAAAAAGATTTATTATGTATACAGTGTTCTCCCTACATGTATGCCTACACACCAGAAAAGGGCACCAAATTTCATTATAGATGGTTGTAAGCCACCATGTAGTTGCTGGGAACTGAACTCAGGACCTCTTGAAGAGCAGCCAGTGCTCTTAATCACTGAGCCATCTCTCCAGCTTTTTTTTTTTTAATTAAAAAACATAAACACTAAAAGGGGCTGGAGCAATGACTCATAGGTTAAGATCACTGGCTGCTCTTTCAGGGGACCTGGGTTCAATTCCCAGCACCCACATTGCAGTTCACAACTGTCCATAACTTCTGTTCCAGGGGATCCAACACCCTCACATAGACATATATGCAGGCAAAATGCCAATGCACATAAATTACAAATAAATTATTAAAAACAAACATTAAATGACAAAAATTCTAGCCAGGTGTGGTGGCACATGCCATTAATCCCAGCAGTCTATGAGTTTGAGGCCAGTCTGGTCTACATAGTGAACTCTAGGACAGCCAGGCTATACAGATGAAACCTTGTCTCAAAAACAACAAAAGCTCAAAGCTCAAAGTTCTATCTTTTAAAAAAGTGAACAGGTATTTTTTTCTTTTCTTTTCTCTCTCTTTTTTTTTTTTTTTTTTTTTTGCTAAATCAATGAGCTTTACTGGGAGTTACAGTAATATGGGGAGAGTTGCTTATTACAGCACAGGGGACACAAAGGTAGTTGCAATCCTCAAACTCAAAATGAGCATGTGATATGGCTTATGAGTACTGGGCACCTGAAACACACTGCACACCTACAGGCACACCTACAGATTAAGGAACATCCTTTATTGGTGGTCCAGTTTGACCAATCCTGAGCTGCATGATTTGTCTAAGTTTTGACATTTCAGTTAAACATACTGAATCCTGTCAGTTTCAGGGATCTTGATGTAAACTGATAATGCTCATTTGTTTCCCGGCCATCCAGACCTGAATAATCAGTGAACAGGTATTTTTCTTTTAAGCATATTCAAAAGTCAGAGGCTGAAGTGCTGTTAACAGCCCCCA